CCAGTATCTTTACCGCGTTATAAATGATTCACAGTTGTACACACCGTATAAATTTTAGTAAATTTAAAGAAACACACATATAAGCAACCGAGTATAGAGACAAAGCAGAAATCTTTGAAACTATTATAAATTGCAGCAAAGGAACTGAGCACTAGTCCAAGTTTAGCTGCAGTTGTAATTGCATGGAAAACGAAACTAGCGATACCTTCGAACAGGCTCTGCTCTTCCATACGAGTTTTTCACAAATAAAGCTGGACTCTACTTCACTCGTAAATGAGATGGCGATGTGGATTTTTCCATGCTTACCCAGCTATTTATTTCCAAACGGTTGACAGTAACAAAGAATTTGTAAACTTTGTATGAAAAGTTATGATGAAGTAAATTTCCAGAAACTTTGAATATTAATATTCATCAAGTCGTTACTTTAACACTTTTTTCGAGATATCAACAGGTTATAGTTTTTTTCTCCACTTAATGGTATGCAAGGCATTTCTTGATCATTCTCCTTGTTGTTGATATTACCTGCGTAAAACTAGTTATGAACGAACATGCTCTTACCTGAAGTGAAAATCCCGTATATTGACTAGGCGTTGTGGAAAGATTGAGGGGAAACAGTAGTCGTAAATCTCACCTGTCAGTCCACGACGGGTGGTACGGGGAAGGGGTACTCAATGAGGGGGCGAGGAATAATACGTGGCTAGTGGTCGGCCGAGACCAATTAATTCTAGCCGACCGCAGGCCATTACTCGGCCACCTGAAAGCCGCCCATTTAGAAAAGATGCTGGCTCGGATATCATATTACAATGACTACAAGCTCATGAGTAGAAACTGACTGAGCAAAGGACAGAACGAGGATTTCACACCGTTGTCGCGAGTAAGTCGCTCTCAGACTTCGTTGCAGCCTGACTACCAGCCTTAAACTAGACTTGCAGCACAGAGGAGAGTCAGCAGTCGGGGCTAGTGTGAAGGAAGACGAAGGCTTGGAGTGCGATGCCGTGAAGACTATAATGGCTGGAACAATGGTTGCTGTCTTACGGTGCCTATGACTCCAAGGGGAGTGCAGTCGTGCACCACCAATTTTGTGCACCAAAAAGCCCTGAATCGAACGCCTTGGATCTCTCCGGACATCCATCAATCAGCCGTGAACCACTCGGCTTTGTCCTCCTCCGGTCTTGCATAGAACCTACCGTGCACCACCAGGCCGCATGGCGCGGATCGAATAGGGCTTCCGGGCATCGTCAAATTACGTAATTTTACGTTCAGCGCATCTGAAGTTAGGTTTCAGATAGCGTAGTTCTGTTCCAAAATGTATCGTCCTTCGACGAATGGCCGTTCGACCGAGGGCTGGTTCGACGCACGGCCTAGATATGATTGTCCAGAAGTGTTGAAGGATGCGTTCCGGAAGGCAGTAATCATGATGGTCCATTACATCCAGGGCAGTGGTGGTCTGCGGCAGGCGACCCGCTCCAAGCACTTAGGTTCATATGCTACTATTCAAGAGCATGCTTGCGAATTTCATTTGAATTGTACCCATTCAAATTATTCGACCTATTTTTCCTGCATGGGAAGCGTTTTATGCTGCTGGGAAGCAATAATTTTAAATGTGAATGGCAGAGGAAGAAAGCTGTGGAGCGAGACGTCATAGGAAGATGCCACGTATAGTCCGCTATCAGTCATCCGAAGCACGCCGTGCGCATGCCATCCGTCTTCTAGCACATACACTCAGGGCCATCACGGAGACTTGTGGTGCGGCCGTGTCAAGATCGCGTCACTAACGTCACTCAAGTGTGAGTTTATCCTCGGTTACTGGTACTTATTTCTTCTCATGTTTGATTGAAAATCAATTCTTTTGTCTTCCATTTTTTCATGCCGCCGTCGCATGATCTATTAATGATGTGGAGGGAAAATGGAAATAAGAATTTTGGATGCGAACCGCCGACTAGTCAGCCACGTTTTGGCTGACAAGCTCACGTATAATAGTGATATGGTTCATAAATTTATCTAAGCTCGAGCATGAAAGAGATTTGAGCAAATACCTGAAATATTTATTCTAAAGAATCGCTGTCAGATGGAAGCACTGAGGCCGAAGAACTGCGTTAAAACAAAGAGCTGTCGTCACTCGGAATACTTTGTTAATGTTAATTTTAAACCTGTGTCAGAGTTTCTAATACTTTTTTTAGTTGAATATGACTAATTAGCTGCCAATTCTATCCTAATTTTAACGTGGGTTTACTTCTTTTTAATTTTATTAATTAATTTCCAAGCATAGTTTTTCATTTCAGCAATATAACATTGTATTACATTCGATCGTCACCAGCTCATTGGAGTGAGAAGATGACAAGTGCTAATAAAGTGTTCTTTGTATATCTTGATGCCTTTCTTTATTCCAGCGACAGGCGAGTTAGCGAGTCCAAACGATGGCTAACATGAATGTATATATTCCTTATTCGCACAATTATGTATCCGTATAAGCATGGTGCATGAATTGTGAAAAGGATCAAGCACCGGAAACGTTTCTTGTAAAAGCAAATACGAGTAGTTAATGTTTTGCTGTGAACACGACTCACGCGTCGACCACCAGAAGAGTACGATTTGCAGCTGAGCCAAAGCTGGAGATTTCGATAGAAAAGCTTTACAATTTTTGTTTCCGACTTCATCCTGCAGCTTTCCAGCATTTTATAATATCTTAAATTGCATATTATAAAACTTCTCGCATGTCAGCATCTGTTCATTGTGCTGTGCGTTTGACGCGTTCCAGTAAGCTGCAGAATTGTAGTTCTCTTTGTATTCATGCGCCTTCACCAATCATTCAAAGTTGGACTAATTTGCTTCATTAATAAATTTTTATTTGTATCTGCAAGTGTCAAGTTTTATAAATGCGAGTGGGGAGATTATATTTGTTTCTGTGATCTTAGTGGTGGAGTTGCATAGTTCTCATTTGAACGTGAAAGTACTGTAAAAATTAGGCACTCCGATTTTAAATAAAAAAACCTGAGAGGCTGTAAATGTTGAAGCATTAGTTTGACATTGTGAGCTGCGAGCGTGAGCTGTTTCCGGGTCATTTGGCATAAACAAGGTGTTGAGTCAGCTCAGACAGCGTGCCAAGACTACACGCAGTATTTGTGCCAGCCAGGCAGCATGTGGCCAGCAACTGACACACAGGTCACAGTATGTACGTGGCGCTGCATTCATACCCTACGTACCTAACTTAGCTGTCATACCCAGCCGTCGGTATTGTCGAACTAGAGCAAGCTTGTGCGTGCAGAGCATAGCACCGCGAAGAAAATCGCGGTAACAGCGCAAGACAAGAATTTTATTGTCCCCATTTTAGCAATGCTCACCACGTTGATGGAAGAAGACGAATTCCTTAACAATTCGCGAACAACCCTTCTGCTTGTTGAATGACCGCCAAGACGGGAAATGCAAACCTTACATATGAAGCCTTACGTTCCTATGTGCGCTCATTTACACCGGTGTCTGACAAGTGCATCGTTGGCCAGTAGTAGACGTTCAATTGTCAAGGAGCATGATTCCTCCAGCCTAAGGTGATTTGTAAAATATTGTTACATTTTTATTGGAAGTAACTTGGCTAACTATCTTATTAAATTGCACCAATGGCATGAGCGTTATAGGCTGAGAGTGATCGAGTGACTGGCATACGGGTCCTGAGCATGTTCATAAGGCATACAGGAAGGACGATCGTGCAGCATGCATGCTTGAGAGCAAGAGCAGCGGGCAACCTCCGACGACAAGGGACGCCTGCTTGTTTGTGGGCAGCGCAATTTTGCTATCGTCCGTGGGCTGGTGGGCACTTGCCATGCAGTCAGTGTGAACGCGGCTCGCGTCATAGGTGGTGTTTGATACCAGTGCTACGCTGTCATCTGTATTAAATTGGAGACTAATGATGATTGTACATACTATACTGAGAAACTGTTGAACATTTCTTCTCTCAGTGATCAGCTTTCAACGTTGACTGTTCCGTTGGTTATGACTTCAACTGAATCAATGTTTTGCTAGTTAAATAAGTGTTAAGTCAATTATACTTTCAATCAAGGATATTATTTCACTGTAGAAGGCATTCGCACCACCAGCAATCTGCCGATAATGTATGCATATCCATGATTCATGAGTTCATTGATTCCTGCTTAGTTTCGTCAAAACATCTTTGTAAAATTTATAAATGCTTGGTAGCCTATAACTAGTTTTTGCTCTCCCTTACTCGTCTCACGCTCGCATGTTAGCAACTTACAAGTTAAAAGTTACCTGTTAGCAACTCATTTACCAATGCTGCAGTATAAGAATACATTTAATCCGGTTTCTGTTAGTGTCGAATTTTCGCGCGTACATATAGCGAATATTTGTTATCGTCAGACAAGAAAATATTTAATAATTAACGCGCTATTTACCATAACCATGAGTCTCAGGCAAGCGCTCAGCTAAAACGAGTCGTGCAAAAGTTAGGCATGGATTTTTTCTAACCAGTCTGGTTCTTATTAAAAGTGGGCGGAAGATTTTCTTGGCTAGTAGGCCGAATATCCTGAACACATGGGTTTAGTTTTTCACTGAGATGGGGTCGCGTGTCATTCAATAATATCACACCAATTACTTACAGTATGCCCATCGAAAGACGTTCACAGTAACGGTTCACTGTGATGCCTATTAAAAGATGAAGTATTAATGTTTGGCGGAAAGTAATGCTTGAAGGTACGTCAACAAAAGCATTGAAGTTTCATGCAGACCTACGGATTTAGCTCGCCATTTTTATGGAATACTGATTACTGAGCCCGCAAATTGTAACAATCCCCACTGACACTTGTGCATCGACGAAAGAACGTATTATCCCTTACACCTTGTTTACGTCTTTCGAAATAGAAATGGTATGAATTCTATGGTGTTACTTAAAAAAATATAACACCAAGCTGCCTACGCATTTAACCATTATCCTTAGTTATAACTAACACGCTTAATACTGTAAACATCTGGGAGAATTTTACCCTGAATTTATTTTCCAGTTCTATGCATGTTTTACTAAGGATAAGTTCCAGAAAATATTCGTTTCTTCAAGTCCAGGGACTAGTGTATTATCATTGACCCTGGGTGTTAGACAATCTTAGAAAAATTCCTTAAGAAATGGAAAATTGTCGTGAGTTTCAAGTTGTCCACATTAACCATTTTCTGTTTTCATTCGCATTTGGGCCACGACTTATTATGCACGAAGAGTGAAACAAAGTTGAACTTTAACCAAGCTTTCATCATGCTTGAGATGCGGGCTCGCGAGAGCACACCATCGTTTTTTGGAGTTCCGCGCCGTGTCATTTCTCCTTACATCGAGACGGCAAAGCGAGGGTATGATTATACTGTTGACAGCAAAGAAGCCGATAACAGCTCTTGCTTTTCACCTCCATCGGACGCTCTTTACAAAATTACACTGAGCAAAGAACAATCTGTGATGAAGTGGAACCCTCCCGTTTTTCCTGCCTTCCATCCTAGACTTGTGTCATATCCCCACAATTCAAGAGAAGAAAGTCTTCGCTTCCACGCCAACCATACGAAATTTTATTCAGCTGACTTCAATTTACGATCGCTTCCAGGAGCGGGTCGAGTTGATTCTCCCAAAGCCACTTGGCAAGCGTATGGCGGGGTAAGCGGTCATCTAGACCCCTATGTTACGAGCTCAAATCTGTCACGCTCCTGTGACTCAAATTTAACAGAAAGCTCAGGAAAAATTATCCCTGTGGATGTTCGATGCTCAGGTACCGTGAATAGTTATGAAGAAAATGTGGAAATAAAAGAGGAAAGTTCTGATGAGAAGTCAGTTAGCATGAGCACGTCATCTAAATCTGCTTTCGACTACAGACGAAACTCAAATGAGCGCAGCTCGACAAAAAGAGAAGGTTCTCCAACTATTCATCCTCCTAAGAAAAAGTGGATTCATTGCTACCTCGCTTTCGGTACGCTAACCATGAGTCACGAAACTCACGATATTATTCTGTCGAAATTATTGTATCGCATAATTGTGTGTCACAACAGCCTCAATGTGAATGATTTTCGTTGCTAGTTAGAATCTGCAATCGCGTCGACATTACACAATCAGTGGTTATGAAAATATTAAGCTGGCCCTAGTGGGAATTTTCAAAATAATGTTTTTTTTTCTGACATGGCTCCTGTTTGCTTTATTTACCAAAATCTATCATTGGCTTACGAATACTACGGAGGCAAAGGACATGAGTAATTTTTTCTGTAAGATGTAGAACATGTTTGTGCTGAAATCAGTTCCCGATTACTGACATGTTTAATGCACATACTCTTCTTCTGCGTTGTATGTCAGAATAGAGTGCTCGTCTTATTTTTACTGCAGTATCAACAATAATAATAAGGCATATGAATCAGTTATACTAATTTACGAAACAAACTTACGATTCTCTGTACGTTATCTTTACAGGAAAGTCTTGCGAAGAGGGCGATGTGTGCCACCAAAGCAGCAGTAATGCGTCGTCTGAAGTATCATTACCTGAACGTCAGATACGTTCAACATCTCCACTCGGAGTCTCCCATCAGTTATTACATTCGTCATCTGTCGCTGATCCACTGAAGAGACTATCACACGGTTCAAGTTACGGAGTGCATCCGACGCAGTTACGCACCCCGATCATAGTGAATTCCATTCCCAGTCTTTCTCCCAACCCTCGTTCTGTGTTTTCTTCTCTGAATAATTTAGTTAGTGATCCGCAAAGTGTCTCGGTCACACAGAATCCGATCATCAATCATGTAGATTTAAGACGACAGCTTTACGTTCCTGTCCCAGTGTCATCGAGCGTAGCACCTCTCGCATATTCCATTAGCTCAAGTCCCACGTGCATGCCTATCAAACAAGAAAACAATGTCAACCACCCAATTTGCAATGGTAAAGCTGAAGCTGCTACCTCAGGTAATGACGACAAATGCCTTCCTGCAGTTGACATCAGCTCTTCCTCGTCTTCAAAGCACAAACGTCATCTTTTGGAGACTCCAAGCGTTAGTCATTTCAGCCTTAATCCGTACGTTGTCGGCCCGACTCGTTCCGCTCCTGTGGCCCTTCTATCGCATGATACGCAAGTTCAAAACCTAACCCGTGCAGTTCTGCCTGTAGGACCCGGCAAAGGGACTCTCCGGTTTGATCTTGAGGGCGCTAGAACAGTTTCGTTTGATCCCTCATTGTTATCGGAAGGTAATGTCAGAAGAGGTCCATCAACTCCCTCAACTGCTACTGAGTCCATCAATCAAACTGTTTTACGGTGCTTGCCAAACTATGAAGTGCAGCATCATAGTTATTTACAGAACTCGTTATCACCTTCACATGGCGCCAAAGAAGATTTTTCTAAAAGAAAACCTGGGTAAGTATAAGCAACGTTATCAGCTCTAATTTGTAAACCTTGTGTTGATTTACGACAGAGCAACTTTTCTCCAAAATAGGACCTGTTATTTTAAAGTTTTGAGGCATTCTCTTTTAATTTGCTTTAAATTTACCGTGCATGTCTGTGTGAATTCTGCATATTTTGTGCTCACAATGTTACGCGACTGATGTCGAAGTCTTTGTGTTCGGAAAGTCTTTTGCTTACCGATGATTTAATAATTTAAAAAATTCAAATTGTTCGTGCTGTTATTATTGCTTTTAAAGTTGTCTCAGTAGAAATATATGAAAGATGTGTATTTATTTCATTCTTAAATGTGTGCAGGAATACGCCATCCCGTGAAGTGCATAACAAGCTTGAGAAGAACAGGAGAGCTCACTTGAAAGAATGTTTCGATCTGCTTAAAAGACAGGTGCCAAACTTGGATGAAAAGAAAGTCTCAAACCAAAACATTCTAAAAGCAGCCTACAAGTGCATCAATGTGAGTTCAATCTGAGCTTTAGATTAATCTATGTGATAAAACCTAGACATTTTTGATGTGATTTCTGAGAGGACTTGCTAGCCTTTAGATTGATGTGTTCTGGAAAAAAAATTCTTTAGTTCCGGATAAATATGGATTTCACGACCGATAAAATTAATTTTATATATTGTGCGTCATTCTGATATCTTATATCTTCTGAGTCATTCGCCTGATATCAATTGCTTAGTGAGATTAGTTCTTTTTATCAATAGCATTAGCATAGAGTGGTCATTTGTCACGATCAGCACGCACTAAATTAATAACTTGTTGCGTTTGCAGACTTTGAAACGCAAAGAACGCGACTACGAACATGAGATGGAAAGATTAGCTCGGGAAAAGATATCGAAGCAACAACATTTGGCGGCTCTCAAAAAGGAGCTTTCAGCTCGTTGGGATCACATCGACTTCAATATCATCCTTCCAGACATGGCGACTGTAGATCAGAACCGAGACAAGGAAACTAATTCAACTGCGACTGCCCCTGAACAACCGGATTCAGAGGAGCCACAATCATTGCAAATTCGGAGCGATCAATTTCGGACGGCAAACCTAACTCCATCTCTTAATAAAGATGGCACTTTCACTGGGAATGCAGTACATTCTCAACAAAATTTCAGTAACAAAATCAACTTGTCACCGAGAATTGTGCCTTCTTCTCTTATTGAACCTCCTGTCTATGTTAACCAAACTGGCCTATGCACTCAGGGGCAGCTTTTGTCCAACGGGAAAAATGTACCACTTAATAACTCTTCTCACCCTATCAGCACATTTCCTAGTCTTGATATGCCAAGTTCTGTGGTAACCTACACCCCCCAGGCCTCTCCTCACGCAGGCATTGTTGGTCATTGCGTAACTCACCATATTGTATCTCATCCTTCACTTTTGACCTACACTCCTCAGCCTTCTCCTCAGTCCCCTCTGACATCGGACACACCAATTTATTCTGTAGCATCCCCAAGCTGTAATCCTATATCCGTTTCGCTTGTTGGCAATAGCCTGATTCTTCAAAGAACTCAAAAATCTAAAGTGGAAACTGTTCTAGATCCAAACCAACCATTGAATTTGTCCACTAACACAGCTGTCCTCAATATACCTGCAGAGTCTTCTCCTGATTCATTACCAGCAGTCTACGCTCCTGAATCGAAAATTTTAAATCAAACCAAACTCGTATCGCTAGCCCAGCCTGCTACATCCCATGGTTTCCAATTACAACAATCTATGAATATTCCTGACGTTCATCGAGAAAGAGTTGAACTTCAGGTAGTTAACGATTCAAACTTTCCTAAGGTTATCTCTTCTGATCAAAACTTAGATACAAAAACCAATGAGAGGCATTCCCATGCGACTTCTTCATTCTTCTCCGGCGTGTCTACCAAGTCCGTATACAACGTACCATCGTTAATAACTTCTACTAAGCTGCAAGGAGCCCATGTTATCACTCATCAGAATTCTCGAAGTCAGCTTTCAACTGCTTTGAATTGTGTACCTAAATTATCACGGCAAAATTCGGCGCCAGGTGCGGCTGGTTTTCCAAGCGATCTTCGGTTACTGAAAGTTCCCGACGCTAGATCCGTTATTTCGTCCGCACAAACTCCCGGCCCAGTGAAGAATAATCTGGCAACAGAGCACAGCACCGAACTGCAATTAATGTGTGCATCTGCCGCACAGTCCAGTGGCTCGAATGTCCACGTATATCAGCAGCACGTTAACGACGGAATGAGAAACGTCCTTTCAGCGCCGCCTCCAAATATCCATCCGATGCCGGTTCGAATGCCTGTCTCGGCGATCGCTCATTCCGACTTCAGTTACAAACTTTTGTCGGGTGATCACGTTGTGACGAATGGCGTTAGCGCCACAAAACCACTGAGTGTATCGTGGCCGTGCGGGGGTAAGTTCCGCAGTAAAAAATGTCATACTAATTGCCCCTATGTCATTTTATTATAAATTTATCTGATTCTATAATTTCTGTAAGTTTTCGTTTCTAGGGGATTTGGTCTAGGGATGACTGATGTACTATTTCCCGATATATTTTTTCCGGAACCTTTTTTCCCTTTGTCAATCCGTGGCTAAATTTTAGTCTATTTAAACTCGCGTTAGAGTCTGAGTTTATAATAATGATTTATTGATAATTACGTTGTTGAAATTCAAGTTCGTACTTTTGCAGATATCACTCAAAGTAGTGATCGCTCTCAGTCGTGTGGAGAGCGGCTTTTTGTGGCGGTGTCTCGTAACGGCTTGTCTTCAGTTCACTTGGCGGTGCCATCAGTGCCCAGCAGCGCCCTCAAGCCTGGTGAGGGCATCGCTGTCGGCATGCCACTTAACCTTACTACGTCTTCGTCGAATAATCTCGACATGAGCAACTCATCTCCGGCGGCGTTTAGCCTTGCGGAGAGTCCTATAGTTCCGTCTTATGTTCCGCTTGGATCTTCTAACGGTTAGTTTGCAATACCACAAGGTTCATGTAAGTTAAATATTGAACCTTTATTTTTATCAATAATATTGCGGATGTTTTGTATAGATCATACAACATTCTTGATTGTGATGTAGTTTACTGTAGTTTATCGTATCGATATAAGTCCGAAAGTAAAATTTCCCAGTTTCTGACGCTTCCAATTGGATGTGAGAGACCATCATTTGTAATTTCAAGTTTGAAAATGTAGATAAAGTATTTGCTCATTCATTGTACAATTCTACAGTTGTGCCCCAGCTGCTGCCGAGCATGATGGTGACCCCGGTTGTGGTGTCACCAACCCTCGTTAAGTCTGTCGGTGAAGTTGACACGGTCTCCTCGAGCGGCGGCATGCACTGCAGCGTCGCAATGAGCGTCACATCACCGCACGGCAGCCATACCACGACTCTTGTCTTCTCCAGATCTGCTCCACAGATGGTCAAAAGTTCTGCTACCAGGACCCTGATGTTAGCTGGGGGACAGCACCTCGCAAACGCGGCACTCGTAGTCGTGCCTTCTGTAGGGGCCGTCGCCAAGGGCCTCAATCCCGGTAGAGGAGAACTCATCACCTCGCATGTCACCGCTAATAACTCAGCTGTAGTCACGGATGTCAGAAATTAGGTACTGCGAACTGATAGCTTTAATAGAGTGTATTGTCTGTGCAATATAAAGCGTGTGGCGGATTGTTGGCTCCGACGAATGCAGATTTTATATAAAGTATTTTATGTTAATTTTTGCCTTAAAAATGTATATTTTATGCCTGAAAGAGCGGATGCCTCGCCGAGATTTAATCCAAAATATTTAAATTTATTAGTTTATGAAAATAACTCGTAAATGTTTTGAAACGGTAAAGTTTTATTTTAAGTCGCTGAAGTACATTTTATTGGTTTAATATTTTAATTGTTTTTAAGGTAAGCAAAAGCTTGAGGTTATACATATGTCGCGGAGAAAAGTGGCACATTATAAAGATTTTCAAAGTCAAAAATAAATATAAATTGCATAGTCTGTTCGAAGTCCCGATAACTGTAAAATTATTCGACTTACTCGCTCAATAGCTTGGAAACTACTTCCACTGTACAGTGGCTCCAGCGCTGTTGTATTTGGGAGGTGGGTTTCATCGATCATTTTTATCAACTTGGTTTGGATGCATCGCGGTAAAATTTAAACTGTAGCTGTTTATTAACGTATGTAAGCAAATATTAAGGCAGTCCTAGAGGTAGAGCAATATTGTCTTAAGAGTCTCTCATTTATTTTCTGAACTCGGGTAACGAATATGATATACGTTTTTTTCTAATTATGTTGACATTTGATTATTAGGACATACTTATAGATATATTCATGATCTGGTGAAAACATTAATGTTCAATTTTAACTTGACCATTTTGAAGTGTCAGCACAAAAAAATTTGCACTATTTTTCACCAATTTATTCATTTTTGGTTTGTTTGTTTGGAAAATTAGGCAAACCTCTCTTGTATAGCTCTAAGTTGGCGTAAAAGAACTAGCCTAAAGTCATGCTGTTAAATTCGTTCAACCTTCAAATCAGGAGTCCGACGTCACTATCGCATTGTTTAAATAAATGTGTTCATACAGAAAAATATCCAAATAAATGATAACTAATTTCATTAGTATGCTCCTTGAAGTAAAATATCATTATTTTCTTTTTGTGTGTCTCGAGGATAACGCGAGGGCAAAGGTCATTTGTTTGACTGAGACACTCACGAATACTGAAATTGCGAGAGATTGTTTAGCAACGTTACGATTTAATGATATTTACTGCCATATATTTCCATTTCTACCGTTAAGTGTACATATGACCGAGTCTTTCTATTTCCTTTTATTCAGATTTATATTTAGCTGTTTCAGCTGATTCATAGCTGTTTGAACTGTGTCTACAGCCAGAAAAATATTTATGTATAGTATGACGATGAAAATCACGAGAGAATTTCCTCGATTTATTATCGCCTTAGCCCTAGAATATACAATCTCTTGTTTGTAATAAATGTGCAGTTTTTGCCCTCATTCATTGAATTCATGCATCGTCTCGTGTGTAGTTAGATCTGTCGAAATGCTAGCGGAAAGTTGTGAACCACTTTCGTTTAGTTACCTGTGTAGGTGCATGGATATCCCTAGTGGATTCTACGCAATGATATTTAATGTATTTCGCTGGCTCTTTTCATTTAACCATCGTGAATTTTTACATTTGTTGTTATGTTCTGTTTTGTTTCATATGATGTTTTCTATCCGTTATTGTTTCCGCAATTATTTGTATTTAAGAAGTTGTTATAGTTCTAGTGCAGCCTCAAGCACTGTTTATGGTATATGAATAATTAGTAATAAAGTCCATGAGCATTATTTACATTATTTACGCATGTTACCAACGGTGGGCATTAGGTCGCGGGTATGTTAATTTAGTGCATCATTGCCGGTGTGTTAATTGTTCCCATCGTTATTAAACCTTGACCTCTCTTCTTGGCTTATTCTCACGTTTATCATTACCATGGATTATCATTCTAATAAAGTTTTAATATGAATTTAGTCGTCAGATCAAACACTCATATAGTACCGTAAACAAAATTACGCGTTCAGAATTAATAAATGGCCAAAACAAATCGACTTTCCGGCCTTATCGATTAAAAAGCTAAAGAATTATTTGACTACATAGTTTATTAAAAACCTTGTGCTACCTCGTTTAAATTTATGTGTAGGAAAAAACATTATTCCTCAGAAAAGGTCTGATTATATAAGGTGCTTTTTTCGTTTTTATGGTACCGTATATCAAATTATGTACATTTTATTTATTCCTGAGAAAGTTCCTGTCTACGGAATTTATTGCGCAACTGTAATTAAACCTTCTAGCTCAGTATTGTAGAATGTATGTAAGTATAAATGTTTCTGGCTCAGTATTGTAGAATGTACATAAGATGTATGTAAGAATCACGATTTTCATTTTGTTCAAGACACACATAAGCTGAATTATCTTGCAATAGCTCTAATGTTTTAGCTATTTTCCGCTGTACACTTACTGTATGGTGATTCTTTTCTCATAAATAAAAATCCTGTCTGAAGAAACAACTTTTTAAATTCCTTTACTTAAATGCATTGATGAATTGAATATATGCTTGAAAACAGTAGAGTCCAAAACCTGTTTCATCGTCATCTTTATCCTCATTCGTGGGCTATGAGAATTTCAGATCCAATTATTTTTTTACGGAGCCCAGCAGGGCGTGTGCATGGAAAATATAATCCTTAATTTGATCCTGTCATTGTTGCTGACTTGTATGCATGGCTACATACTCTGCGGCCGCAGTAGCATGGCTTCTTCCTGAATATTGCTGGGCTGGGAATTGTGTGACTCGTTTTTTCGCAACATTCTTCCTAAAAATCAGTGTACTTAGGATAAGATTGATATAACAAACTTGAGATCAGATCAGGTGTTCGAAAAATGACATTCACGGCTAGGAAAGGACGACTTTGAGAACGCGCCGCGTTGAAACCATTAAAAAGGTAGCTCAGTAGTTGGAGTTCCAGAGTACCAGGATTGGAGCAGAGAGATGCGGGTTCGATCTGTGCGCCAGTTTCTGGTCAGAATCGGCAAGGAGACCGGGCGGTTGAGCACAGCAGAATTGGAGCAGTGAGTTGCGTGCTCGAGACCGCAACAAGCTGTGGATGCTCCGCGATGATAAGAATTTGCGACAGGCCTACGGCCAAATAAACGTCGAAGCCGCTACTGAATAATCCATCCGCACGAGGTACCATATAAAGAGGTTCAGATCACGCCAGAAGGCAGGCCACGACCTTGGCGATTAAGTATATGTTAGGAACCGCTGGCCATCAGAGAACATCAGAAGTACTCGATGGTGGTTACAAACGCATTAATTTTCGATTACTAATTGTCATCATCATATTATAGATTTTCATTATGCTTCCAACTTCATTCGCTCAATTTATCCCTCTACCGCCTGACATGAGTAACCGGAGCAATATTGTCACGCGCCTACTTCCCAAAAAGTGAGCGCAAAATGACTTGCACTGATTGTTGCCGCTACGTACAACTTGAAAATGTTCTCTGTTGCGTACAAACGTCATCAGGTTGCTACGCTCAGTAGTTTACGTATACTTTAAATAGAAATTTATGTTCCAGGAGAGTGATATACGGCGGTAGAGGGTTATAATGAAATAGTTTGCCTCGTCCATAATGTTGTTTCCGCAAAGCTATGACGAGCGCGGTGTTCTTCTTCTTCTTTTCAAGGTGTCCACGTTGGGTGGACTGAAAGCCACAGGACAGCCACAAGGATGACCGTTGGGCCTGAGAGCTTATGTTAGCGCGGTGTTCGCAGGTAGTATTGTCGACGCTGAAGAATAGGCCTGGTGTGGCCTGTTGTCGATTCTGGTACTTTTCGCGCGAGTTTTTCAAATCCGAGCATAGCATAGCATAGCACTTCTGCATAGTATTGTCTAGTCTGTTTTTGAACGCGTTCATAGTTAGAGCTTTCAACAATGTCATCAACAAGACTGTTACACAAGTCGATGACTCGAAGCAAGAAGATCGAAGTGTCGAATACTGGTAACTATTTAAGACTTTTGTTTCGTTTTTAATTAATCAGCTTCCGTGCGTAGATGTGACGGATACTAAATATATGAAGAAAATTACGTACTGCGTCTATGGTGCATATTTGTCAAACTTTCAATTAATCTGAATGATGATTACGCTTGGAGGAGTCAAAAAATCCCAGTGGATGACCAGTGCAGTTAAGACTCAGCTAAAGACCAAGAAAGAAGCCTACAAGCGTTATTTACGAACTCGCAGCGAGTCTGATTATAACCTGTATGCCAGAGCTCGAAATCAAGCTAAAAAAGTTTGTCGCACTGCAGTGAAAAACTTCGAAAAAAATATTGCTAAAAATGCCAAAAAGAATCCGAAAGCCTTATTTTTGTACGCTAGTTCGAAGTGTAAGTCAAAGAACGGTATATCTGATTTGAAAGTAGACCAACGAAAGATTTCCTCTGATGAGGGCAAAGCTAACATTCTTAATCAGTTCTTCAGCAGTGTGTTCACAGATGAGGACTTGAACAGTATTCCACATATTGAGGAGCGCCCAGTCGGCTCGAAGTTAACATGTTTTGAAATACACGAAGAAGAGGTTATCGAATCACCGACATGTGGACCAGCCTCCCCGATGACATCGTTGGCGCTCCAAGTATGAACGCGTTCAAGAACAGACTAGATAGAGCTATGGAAAAATATATGTTCAGATTTGAAATGCCTAGCTCCTTATCGAACCCGGTGGAAGTCTAGTAGCTACTTCAAACTATCGCCAGTAATGAAAAGATCCGGTCAAGTGATACGAGTTTAGATCTATGAACAAGGCACGAAAAGGAAAAGAATCGGCGACAGGCCACATCAGGCCTACATTTCAGCGCCGACATCATTATGTTATGTTATCATTATGTTATGATAAGAAAATCCTAAGTTGAATACATGAGTAGAATAGTCTATGTAAAAAGATCGGAAAAAATCTGTATACAAACCATCAGATGTAAATGATTATAGTATCGATGATCCCGCTACCCTGATTCCAGAAAATTCATCATCAGACATTGATTCATGCGACGTCTTATTAATGCGTCGTACAAGCTTGTGAAACGCAGGCACGTTAAGTCGTTAACCCGTTAACCGACTCCTCATGAACGACTTTCATAAAATGAAACGAGTTTTTATGAACCCTGTTGTAATAATTAAAATTTAACATAAATGTTTTAAAGAGACATACCGTACACTAAACGCACGGCACAAAAACTTGCAGGTAAATAAAAGAATAATATTAGTTAAATTCATCAAAATTGTCAGAAAAAAAACAATAACATACGTTTACAAAATAACATGCCTTTGTATATAATACACTGATTATTAGAATCAGCACAACAAGAAATAAATAAGCAATTTAATTTATCATATTTTATGTTGATGTATGTCCTGGGATAGACAAGGAACTTGTCGATCTCATGAATTCGATGACATCGAAACAGCTCTCGTAAACTGCACACGTGCCAAGTCTTTTAGAGGGTGACTTAACTGGTACAATTTAGGATAATAATTTAGAAGCGAAAAACAAGCTAATAAATACGCCATACATTCATGAAAGAACATTTAGGAGGCCATCCGCATCATCAATTCAAAGATTTTAAAAAATAGAGCATAATTAATAATATTATTGAATTTATTTGGAAGATATATATTTTACTTTTTCAAGTTTACACTAGAGTTACTCATGTTAATATGTACAGGATAGTAAGAAGTTGTTCCTGAGGTTGATAGTACGAAAAATGATTATTGTACACATCTTACCATACACATCAGAAACTTTGGCCAAAGAGCTGAAAATATTAGATACATATTATCAATATGTTGAACTCATTGAAATGTTGGCCAATAGATGTTGAATCGGTTTCTTTCTCAGGCACATGAATGCTATTCAAGTCCAGATGCAACCTAAACTTGTGCGCAGCAGCGTACGCCATAATAACGTCGAATAACTTCATCAGGTCGGTCGGATAACGAAGGAATTATCGTCCGGGAAATCTGATTGCCAATTCGACTAATTCAGCTGCCCGCCGAACCTGAGTCGGTGAGCGATTTGAATTTGAGGATCTTGGAATCATTGCACATTTAAAACGAAAACCACGTCTAAACATCGCATTTTATTCTTATCCGCTTAAAAATTTCAATCAATAGGTTTTCACGTTACTTGGCTTTTCTATTAAACAATTGGGTTTTCAATCTCTTCCATGTACATAAATTCGTTCTATCAGGCAAGCTTTCTTTAAGTTTTGGAACTGATGATAAAGCTGGTCTCCTGATAGTTTCTAAGGAAAATATGGTGATTTTATTTGTAATTTTTTCACTTTTAAATCCTTAATTAATCAGTGAGTTGCGCAGACAAATGACATACAAATACTTTATACGAGTAAATAAAAAAAATAAATATAGAGGCATCTTCGCATTCAACACACGAACAGAACTTGAATGAAGAGCAGTAAACGACCAAGGGAGAAGACATTCGAGAATAAAGCAAACGTTTAATAATAGGTAGTTGTTACATTTCAGCTCTTGAGGGTCCTAAAATTCTTATCAACTCCAATTTCAGCATTTTTTAGAAGCGAACATTCGCAACTTGGCATTTATCAACACGTAAATATTTTGTAACCATTTTATGACGGCTGAACGTTCACAGTTAAATCTTTAATTGTGGTTCTAAATATAAACCTACATATAAATACTTACATTTGACAAATATATTTAAATTCAAGACAATATAGAATTAGAACTTGTAATCAGATTTGAAACGGTACAGGAAAAATTTATGAATCGGAACATCGGAACAAGCAAGTTTCACTAGAACGCGCTTCAAAGTAATTGTTATTAGGCCGCGTTACTCCATTTTCAACCGCAAGACGAATAATTGTCCGTGATATTTTCCAGCTAATACTAATCCTGTAGATTATTCAATTTCAATGCCTAAAAATTCACATACGCGGTCAGGTGGTGCGTGACAAGCTTGAATCAATGAGGGGGCGTGAGGGTTCACGGGACGACGCCACGTCTCGTACAAAAGTCTGACGGCTCTAGATGTGCGGGGATGCTGATGTGGGCAGGATGTTCTCTAGATGTGGGCGGGGGGATGTGCTCTAGATGTGCGGGAAGACTGATGTAGGCAGGATGATGTGGCCGAAGATGGTGCCAGGCCGCGGTGCCTGAGATGTGGTGCTGGCGCTGGCAGCCTCCAGCACCTCGGCCACCTTCTGCCGCACCTGCTGCCGGGACAGGTCGCCTCGCAGCAGCAGCAGCGCCGTCAGGTGCTCGCTGCTCATGTCGGGGTACCTGCCGGAGGAGATAATAGTCATGCAATCTCTTATCTCTCATGACTTTCATTTTATTCTTGTGGTTGGGCGGCGATAACGCTGAATTAATGCGCCATTATTTGCAAAAATAACAAGGCCACATAATAAGTGAAATAAGTAGGTATACAATAATTAGTAAGTTGTAAGTAGTTTGAAAACAAAGATTCGTAGAAAAGTTAGAAGAATATCAAAAGCTGAATACCAAAGTATTGTCGATAGCTGAAATTATCTTCAAACCATCTGAGAACCACATAGTAGATGAGTCATTTAAAAAAATATTTTGAACAGGGAACTTAAGTTTACCGTTTACCACTAGAAAACGTAGTCTCATGAAATAAATAACAGTTAAAAGTACTAATCTAGATTCTCTGACTTCCTCTTCAGAGGCGGCAGCTCGAGGTTGAGCATCTCCGTGTCCGGCGTACGGATGACTTCAGCGAGGGCCTTGATGACGTCACAGGGGCTGTCGTAGCGCAGGCGGTCGCCCGCGATCGCCGTGAACACGGACTGCAGCTTGTCCGCCTCCTGAACCGCAATCATATCAACGTACACTTAAAAACTGATAATAGTAATGTTACTTGGTGCAATACGAGCATATGGAACATGTACAGGCGCACTAGATGATCCCTTAAATGTTATTATTTAATGAATTTAAGCATTTGAGATAGAGATCATCAAACCGAGACAGTTGAAACGTTAACTTGAAAAAATATTCTAGTTGATGCAAGTGAAAATTATATTAACACGTTAACTGCGCTATGACCTAGTACTTAACCATAGGTCGTATCGTACTGCACGTGCTAAACTTCTTATTAAGATTGCCACAGAACCAGTATCAACAGTTGACACAAAGCCTTATCAATTAAATATCATTCATTTTTATATTTGCATGACTTTCATTCCTGTGCTGCATGACTTTGAATTCCATTTGATGCCAAAAAAAAACAACAACCACAAAAAAAAATTAAATAAACACATTCTCCAACGCAAATTCGTGTCAAATTAAATTTCCGGAAAAAAAAACAAATTTCCGAAAAACAATTCTTTTGTCGAGATGAACAACGTTGAAAGTATCATGTGCATTACGCTCATACCTCAGTGACGCGGTCAGCGAGCTTCTTCCTGTCGTCGTGCGTCTTGAGCGTGATGCGCCGCTGCAGCAGCGCCGTCGTGTAGCGCACCGACACCTTCTGGATGGCGAGCACCAACACCTGCTCGTAGTTCCTGCACAACGAACACCAATTAGTGGAAAGGAGGCCATCCACAGGATGTGGGAGGACCTCCTCCCACATCCTTCCTAGAGAATGTGGGAGGACCCAATTAGTGAGAAATGAACCACAAGCGCTGATGCCACCGATGGCATATTCCAGGTCTCAGGTACTCTAAGATAACAGAACGTAATATCTATTAACGGTTATTGTATTTAGGCAGGTACAACAAATTAGACAACGCCTTACTGGGAGGGCGCGATTCGTTGATATTCAGGCAAGATCAGAGCAGCAAGATAATCAGCCTCTACATGACTTTTTGGAGCACGAGCGCAGATCTCGGCATTAGACATCATGAGTGGAATCCTGATTCATGTCTTATTGCTGGTTTGTTATGGTCTCTTCAAGAGAGGTGGGAAGTATGATAAGCTTTATATATCTTTTCTAATTCGATTTCTATAGTCTACTGTCGTCTAACCCCGTATTTTTCATTTCTCTATAAATACTTCCTCCCTGGAGACATATCTTTCATTGTTTAAAGCTTCCCATTAGTAATTGGGGTCTTTACCAGTGTTGTACTACCACCATTCATCCAGTAATTCCATATGAGAAGAACGTACATAATAGCTCATAACTTCATTGCTTACTCTTCAAATTCGTAAATACCGCTAATAACTTAAGAGCTTAATTGCAAATTGTGATTGACTTTGAGTGCAGGTGCTGGTAGTCCTCGAAGTAGTCGTTGAGCGTGAGGCAGATGGTGCTCAGCGGCTCAGGGTCGTTGAGCCAAGCAGGCGTGAGCAGCGCGCTGAACTTGGGGGCCAAGTCGAGCAGGGCTTCCTCCAGCAGCAGGTCGCACAGCTCCTGCTGCAGCACCTGGACAATAACAGAAAACTTGTGAAGAAGATCTTCGAGCTCGGACAACATGCCATAAACAAGTTACAATGTAGATCTTCATCTGAATTAAAGTTTCATCAAAATAGGAACCCAGACAACTACTGAAAAGAACATATATGTATCGCAAAAATTCCACGAGCGTCCAAACGCAAAACGTGTCTGTTCTCAACACCACTGCAACAACGGTCGGCTTAAGCTAATCAAATTTGGGCTGAATATTTCGTTTTGACTGGTTACAATGAAGAAGAGATGAACAATTCAACGGACAGTGAACAGGCTCCATTGACAATGACAGAGTTTACATGGAAGTGAAAGGACTCCCCTGACTGTGGACCCACCAAACGAAGGAACGTTCACCTGACTGTGGTATGTCTCACCTAACGAAGGAAAGCTCCCCTGACTGTGGCATGGCTCACATAACGTTGGTAAGCTCACCTGAAAAGCCTTAATAAGGGCAGAGAAGTTAGTGGCCAGGGAGGGAGGCGGATTCTGGGAGGCAGGAGGGCGCCAGAGCTGCACCACGTCACTCAGCGCCTGACAGCTGTTGGCGAGCGCTATCATGTACGTCGTGAAGTATTGGATCTGTTCAATAAATTGTCATTAGCTTAGAAATTATTCATAAATTTATTTCGTTACATGATTGGAAGAAACATCGTACACATTAGCATCAAAATTGAAGATAATTCACAGCATTTCCCCGCTTTACACCACGAAATACAGGGAAGCAAAATAGGTTTTTTAATTTTCTACGTGTTCATGAATTGAGAGTAAACATTACACATTCTACCAGAAGGAAAATAGCTACTGAAGATATGTTGTGGCATGTGTAGCATGTGGCACAGGGCATTCGTACACAGGAAGATTATCTCACTCGTGAGCGGTCGGCAAAGTAAGAGTCGCGGTAAGCCATGATCGCCCTCCTGTAGCGCTCAGCGAAGACCTTCAGCTGCTGCAGGGAACACAGTATCACCTCGTGGCTCACCATGGGGCTGCCCGCGAGAAAATCAAATCCTTTATGGCATGAACGGTAATATCAAAGCTGTCTCAGTAAATCGTATCATTTTTTTAACTACAGTCATGGTCACAACTTATATAAAATGAGTGATCGCAGAGTGCGAACTACATGACTTTATTTTTGTTCGCCATCCACGCACTAGACAGTTCGAGTTGAGTCTGTGATTATTTTTTCTTAGGCATTAACCAGACATAACACTGACATCTCTATCATGAACGCTACAGGTTCATTCGCACATTTAACGTCTCAAAGTTAATCGGTCGCACGCGATGGACCGTCTCATTTACGCTACTAGTAATGGGCAGACTATCGATTGAGACGCAGCGTTGTTGCACAGATAGGGAGATAAATACTGTGATAGGCAACAACAATACATCATTCAATTGGTGTCACAATAGCTCCCTATTTGTATTAATTCCAATACAGAACCACGGTTATTGTACCTAATTAAACGTGACTTTCGCGTTAGGTCGTGACACAAGTGCAAAGTTATTTGACGCTTCTCAAACGAGAAAGATCAGTAAATGTAGATTTTACAGTCACCTTATAGTGTTGGCGACGTCGATGTTCTGCTGGACCATCTGATGGAGGAGGTGCGGCAGCTCGGTCTTGTAGCAGCCGTCCTTGTCAGTGTCGGGAGGCTGGTCTTTACGCCACTCTTGGCTCTCCAACTCCAGCGCCTTCTCCAGCCACGACTCGTAGTTGCAGCGAACGTTCTGGGTAAGAGCAAGACGTTTGAGAAATCTCAATAGCCACTCTGTCAAAAATTTTCCAGTTTCTGTGAAACATAAAGTTTACAGCAACATTAGGCAATCTTGAATGATTTGAAGATGATAAGCACACGAAAGACTCCACCATGAAGTATTGAAACAAAAGCTTCCAGTGGAGCTACATATTACATAATTTTCAGCAAATTGATCAAATATTTCACCGTTAAAAAATATTTTCTTTATAATAATATGTAGATGCGAAATACATGGTGAACATATTTCTTCATGTAAATTAAAAAAAAAAAGGAAAACTTTAAAATTATCATCAAAATTGGTACATTTGAAGAGAGATTAGCTTTTTATTTGGATTTTTGAGAGTATCGGGCCAGACCGTAAGGTATTTCTTGACGAGTCCTTCAAGGACTTTTTTCTCGAGCAGAGGTGGGAAAGCAGAGACGTTGAGGCCCAGAGAAGGATGACCCATGAGCTCAGGCCCGTGGTACGTGTTAAGCACCCACGACAGCAGCGTCACGAACTCGTTGTCTTCCAGCCCGCTCTCAACCATTTCCAATAGCTGCAAAAATTGTTCAACCACTTTCACACCAAAAATTGTCAAAAATTAGAGAACTAAGATCAAATTTAGTCATTTGAATTATTTAACATGCTATGCAAATCAGTGAACTCCATAAAGATACAATTAGAATTAAGCATGATGGATTTTCAGATGCACTGAAATGTATTCAAAGTATGAAGTTCACCTTACTTGCGTTTTCCTGGATACTTATAAAAATATGGAATAACATTTGTCATCAAATTTTTCGTATATTTGTAGAGTTTTCCGTAAATTAAACATTTAGACAAAACATTTTCAAACAGAGGGAGGAACGCGGCTGTAGCGAAGATGTTACCATCTCCAAATTTAATATGCAATCTTAAAGCCAGGCCTGTAACTAAAACAATAACAAAGCTAGGCCTGGAACTAAAGCAATAACAAAGCCAGACCTGTAACTAAAGCAATAACAAAGCCAGACCTGTAACTAAAGCAATAACAAAGCCAGGCCTGTAACTAAAGCAATAATAAAGCCAGGCCTGTAACTAAAGCAATAACAAAGCCAAGGAGGACACACGTGGTTAGCGACGGCCGTGTGGTACATGGCAATGAAGGTGTTGACGACGTCGTAGTGCGGCGGGAAGCATTGCACACAAAGTCCCTTCACGACACGCAGGTCTTCTAGCGTCAGTAACCGGATCACCTGTGAAAAACATGAACAATTTAGCCTTATTATATAGCTCTTGTAACTCTTAGTTACAGCTCAAAAATTTTTGTTTAGGTAGGTAGATGCTAAAAACATGGAGAACATGTTTCTTTATGCAAGTCATAGAAAAAAAAACTTTAAAATTATAATAAAAATATTTTCAAAGAACATTTGAAGAGAGTTAAGCTTTTCATTTATTTTTTATCTATGGACCTATTTACCGTCGTCAATGCTATTCGTACCTATTGGCTTGGACACGAGAGGTTGAGTCAGAACACAAAGGGTTAGGGCCATTTAAATAGCAATTGAAAAATTAACTTTCTTAAAATTAAAAAATACAGTATCTTTTAATTACGAATGCTAATGCTATTTAATTGCAGAAGATAAAATTTGAATCTTTGCATTGAAATTTATCAAACAGTATATAAAGTTGATCATAGGAATTCAAGAAATATCGACATGAACATTATAGTTTTAATAAGAGAGCTCAAATAATTACCCGATGATCAAACTCAATAAACCTTAATGAATTTCGAAAGTAATTCCCAGCACATAATGAAGAAGTCACCTCGAGATGTCGGATCAACCAACTCTTGTTTGTTTCCCGGTCCTCGAACTGATTTGCTTCTATCCTGACAACCACGGAATTCTCCAGCACCGACATGGCTTTCTGTCTCCATTTCTTGGGTCGACCTTCAGGCAAGAATCCACTGCTTTTTTCACGCTGAAATAACGCAAAGTTATTGTTATTATTTGGTTTTAAGGGTCTGACTACATGCGCATAGATACAATACCAGCTAGAGGTATGTCACCTTCTGTTTCCAGCACATTAGTGTTTGTTTCTTATGTGCAAATAATGTACGGCTTTTGAAAACCAATCTCGGCAAGCAAATAAATTAAATTTGTCAACGGTGCATATTTTATTCATCTTAGAATAGCACAGTCAGAAAAAATAATCGTACAAACAGTGCCATACTTTCTGTACTGACAATAGCTGACATGCTTTTCTGCTAGGCAAAGCTGGCTTAGGAAAAACCAGAAAAGTTCAAGAAGTATATCGCTATTTGGAGCAACTTGGGTATATTATCAGTCTGCTTAAATTCCTTATTTGGAACAAGACGTGCTCTTTAAGTACTCCGATTACAGAAGTATTTTACCATTGAATTTCCCTGATTTATAAGCATGGTGCCGCGGTGCGCTACATAACAAGCAGCGGAACAACAATGACCTGCAGCGCGTATTGGTCAGCGCGTTCCTCTCTCTCTACTATGCGCAGGGCGGTGACCAGCTGTGCAGGCTCCTTGCGTACGGTGTTCAGGGCGCGCTGCAGCACCACCCACACTTGCTTGCCTGCCATAAATACGTGTGAGTCAACATCAAGTTCAAAATATTGCATATATTCGTTATATAAATTAAACTATAAATCTTCAAAATTGTGCACATTTAGCAGCGGGTGAACACTGAACAGGTAAAAATACGGAAATGAAAATACGTGAACGTTAACTCTGGCACATATTCAAAATATTTGAAGGGGAGCAAAATGTAATTGTTCAAAATTATGCACATTTAGCGGCGGGTGAACATGTACAAATGGGAAAATTAAAAATGGTGGAAATAATCATATCTTGCGTACATGCAAAGTATCTGAACAATAGTAAAATAAAATTGCGCACGTTTGGAGTGGGTTAACATATATCAATGTAAAAACAAAATATTATTGGGATATTACTCTATTTAAATTTGAAGGCACATCTCAAAAATTAACACATCAATACTAAAGAGACTCAATGAAGAATACTGTACGCAACGACTGGGAAAAAACTTGGTACAAAAACCGACATTGGAAGTGTGGTATGATGGAATAGAATACCTATTCATATTTTGATATGACAAAATGAATTGAAGATTCACAAAAATACCTTCATTCGTAAGGAAAATCAAATTGCATTACTTTTCAAGTGAATAGATTAATCAAATTGGGTGGATAAATCCCGCCCGACGGTGAATTTAACGATTTTTTTCTAAACCGACCTTGAGTAAAGTTGTCTAGCTAAATAAATATATAGAGATATACTTATATACAGATATCTCCAGATAAGGATATCCATCTAGAGTTCTGGACAGAACGCTAGATTCTATGGAGATAAGAGTTTCTACCGAGATATTCAGAGAGCTTGTTGACGTCAGCAAAATATTCTGTGAGCATCTTAGTGTCGTTGGGGTTCTGGTGAGGCAGCTTGTGAAGCTCAAAGAGAAGATCGTCTCGACTGTTCTCCAGATCCATCAGACACTGCCATTGATACACAAAATATATTAGTATATCAAAATATTAAATGAACAAAGGTTAGCTTGGCATTTCAGAAAATAAACCACGACATTCGTTCACCATAAAAACGACAAAAACCTGACGTTCTAACAAAAAAGCTGAAAGATTGAACTTCATCCAAAAATGCCACTGAATCCAATTGAAATACCATTCTTTATTTTCTTGCATGACGACTAAATTTGGTAGCTGTTGTGAAATCGGCTTCAAAGAATTTTCGGTCACACATCTATAAATTTTGGTCACACATACGTATATATGTTGCGTATGACTATATTATACATTTTTATTTATTTACAAAATCATGTTGCTCTCACTGTGAAAAAAAAACACTTAATGGCAATTAACCTGGCGACAATTAAGACAAAATTTCAAACAGAATACAAGTCCAACCTGATGAGCATACAACAAATTGTTGTCGGCAATGAGCTTTTGTGTCTTCTGAATGCTCTCAGGCACAGTGAAGATATGCTTGAGGTTCTCGGTAGCTGCGAGGTATTGCGAGTATCTCACGTATTCCTCTCTCAAGCCACTCATCGTCTCACCAAGACCTCCTACTCCAGACAGTAGCTTCTCAACTTCAATTTGCCTTGATAATAGGAACAAATAAATGCTTCTGGAGCTTTTGCCTTAAGGCAACAACATCAATTATGTTATAGATAATTATGTTTAAATTGAATCACTACCTTATAGTCTTAGCTGACATCATCATTATTTATTTGTAAACTAGTATAGGTAGTAAATTTTTTGAATGTGGTAGAGAAAAATTGAATAAAAACAATTACAATACAATATTAATAATTTCCTGTAACTTTATTCGTTAGGTTGATAATGTCAAATAAATTTAACATCGATGACCGTAGATATGTTAAAACTCACTTTCGTTTGACATCTTGCAAGTCTTCGAGAGCAGTCTGGAGCTGGGTCAGTCCCGTTCTGACTCCGTCTAATTGACTCTGCATGGCAGTTTTCAGCATGGCTTCTACCGAGGCCTGAAAATAAATTATCATTTAATAATTCAATATTATTTAGGCAACATGTTTGTCCTTCAAGCACAATAAAAAGAATACGTACCATACGGTATTTATAATTGCCTGCAAGCAAACATTTTAAGATCAACCTTTATGAGTTTGTCACCTGTCTTGTAGGTAACAAAGCTGCAATAAATTTTTAATACTACTGACAGATATTTAGGGCAACTCTTTGAAGCAACAACGCTCCAAAGGTCAAATACTTAACCAGTAAAAAATTTCATCAGCACCAATCCCCTTTTTATCGTGCAATATTTCTCCGTTCAAATCAGCAGAGTACATGCATCAGGGGGTGCTCTGTATGCGTGTAAAAGTTTGCTCTAAAATTTATAGGTTGTAGGGTAGAAATGTGTGCAAACCATAAATTATTTTATGACGATGAGTTTTATCATACGACGTATTTTTGAATCTGGAGTAAACCGGTCGTGCATTGGTATAGAACTGCCATTACGTTACACGGTTACACCATCTATATTATACAGACTCCACTACGTAGTCAGTAGTATAACAAGAAAATTATCTTCCTTTTGTGTTTCAGTAATAAAGTAAATAGAAGGCAAACCTTTTTCCTCGTTGTTCTCCTTCTGTACTGGTCAACTTTATGGAGCTGATCAGGACGTTGAAGCATATTGGCGACCAGAATTTTTGCGCGTTGGATGGCACACTTTTCAGCTGCCTCCACTTCACCACTGGCTGAACTGACATCATGAACTGTTTCACCAGATCCACCAGCAACACTGCCTGAAAATAAATTTAAATTAGTTTTTGAAGAATAAATTGAATTGAAAGATCATCTCAAAGATCCTTAATTTTTTTTAAGTGTGTTAATTCTGACTTCTACTTTCAATATGGAATCTACTCAAATTTAAATATTTTTGAAATAAAATTAATGGACAAATACATGCAAAAATTTGAATCATATACCTACAAATATGCTAGGTTTAATGTTTCAGCTCTGTAATGGTAAATATTTATGATTCCACTTTATTACCAAAAATTAAAAACCATAATGCATTATCTACTGAATTTTTTTCTTATTGACACAGGATTTTGGTCAGCATAAGCATCTAAAGGGACAATCCTTTTTCTAGTGAGCTTTTTCCTCAATTAGATGAATCCGTAGGCAGGAAAATGGGCTGGAAGGAAGATGGGCTGCCATGACACTAAACATATTCTTTAAAACGAATTCATGATCTCACGCGAACGTATTCTGGCGCATCATTGCCATGTATGTACCAGCATTGCTATGTATTATTGACCTACCTATTGAATGCTGCAGTACATGCGTTCCATAATGGCTACTGCAGCAGCTGTGGCTGCGCGATCGTATCCTGGAACCGCGATAGTAGTAACTATGCGCCGGCGCCGTGTGGCTAGGCAGATATGCAAATTATTGACAGTATGTGCGTTCAATGCCATCTGTGGCGTCAGCGCACTCATGTCCTAAGGTATGCACTATTAGTAACCATACATACGTATAGTAACAGCAGCTGCGGAAGCACAATTGTTTTCTTGTGTCTATGCAAGTACATGTATTAGAGCCCATACTTACTTTCCACGAGGGCTGCTGCCGCTAGCAAATAGAAAGCTCTAGATTGCATTAGAACGCTTTAGAATGCATTAAAACGCAGGAGACTGCATTAGAGCATGGGTCTCTATACCACGGCCCGTGAGCTGGATCCGGCATGCGGCTAGGTTCTATCCGGCCAGCCAAGGATAGTCTCATAGTTCAACATAATGTGTAAAAAATCGAGCATGGCGTTTATTTCCGGTTTCATATGAACTAAAAATAGTAAATGGTGGGACAGGCGTAAAAAGGTTTCAGAAAGCTTGCTTTTGGCCCTTGGTGAAAAGTTTGGAGTTCCCTGCACTAGAACACAGTGGAGCACATTAGAAAGCAGTAGAGCGCATTAGAACCCAGTAGAGTGCATAAGAAGGCAGTAGAGCGCATTATATAGAACGCAGTAGAGTGCATTAGAATGCAGTAAAATACATTCGTACCCAGTAGAACGCGTTTGTATGCAGAAGGACGTAGTAGAGTGCATTACAGCACAGTATAATGCAGAGGAGTTATTAGACAGCACTAGATCGCATTAGAGCATATTAAAATGCAGTAGAGCCCATTAGAACCCATTAGAATGCACTAGATTGCACTAGAGCAAATTAGTATGTACTGTAATATAATTCATTAGAATTAGAAAAAACATTGAATCAGATATGAGATTTTCAAGTTGCAATCCAGATGCAAATGTATGTGGGAACAAGCCATATCAGGACATACGCTGGGCGAGTTATACTGCGAGTATGCTAATTACATTATTTTAGCTCCCTGCACACTACTGAAAGGGCTTGGAGCCTTGTGTGTGCCAGATTAAGTGGAGCCAGCCACTAAGCTGTATTTAGCATTCACATTTTACAGAAGAAATTGGATAGAAGCTCCCAACATAGTTGCAACCCAGAGATTATTCATTATCGGTTATTTTTCATTTCCTCATTTACTTAACTTTTAAACCAATATCTTATGTATGATATGCTGGTTTCCATAATACTTTGCTGGTCTGAAAGAAGAAGAGTCTGTAAACTCTGCTTTGCCACTATGGCTCCTGGGAATTCCAGTCTGTAAATTAGTGCCTTTCAGATCGAGATATCGGCGTCTTTTCAAGCTCTCCATCAGCCACCTCGACCTTAAATCGGCGTCCACGACCGATCATAAACTATAGATTACTCGATCAGCCCCGCCGTCACCGCACGCATCTTCAGCTTGTTTGATTGCTTGTATCTGTCACCCGATCACAATGTGCATACGTCTGGCGCGCCCAATGCTACTGCTGAAAAAACTTGTCTCCGTTTCCATAATGTATTGTAAGCAAATGATGCCTCAATACATTTTAATGCGTTCTAGTGTATTCTAATCATCTCATGCAATTGCATTAGTTCCAACGTAATCTACTATGTTCTAATACAATCTATTGTGTTTTAACGCAATCTATTGTGTTCTAACGTTATCTATTGCGTTCTAACGCAATTTATTGCGTTCTAACGATCTATTGCGTTCTAACACTATCTATTGCGTGCTAACACGATCTATTGCGTTCTAACACGATCTATTGCGTTCTAACACGATCTATTGCGTTCTAACACGATCTATTGCATTCTAACGCGATCTATTGCGTTCAAAAGCAATTTAATGTATCCCAAGGCAATCTAATGCAATCTCTTGCATTCTAATGCATCTAATTTAACCTAATACAATCTAATGCATTCAAATTCAAACTGACACTTTATACTGCAATCTAAAGCATTCTAATGCAATCTTATGTAACCTAATGAATGAAACCTAATGTAACCTAATTCAATTTAATGCGTTCTAGTGCATTCTAATGCATTGCAATGAAATCTAGTGCAATCAAATAAAATCTCAATGCATTGTTACACATTCTAATTCAATCTATTTAATTTTACTGAATTAGGTTGGTTTGAATTGGTCTGGAATGATTTGATTAGGGTTGAATTGAGTTGGGTGTGGTTGAATTGGGTTGAATCAAGTTGGAACAAGTTAAATTGGTTTTGGTTGATTATGGTTTAATTGGGTTGAGTTTAATTAAATTTTGGTTGAATTGCGTTAGGTGGGGTTGAATTTGGTTGGATTGAATTGGGTTGGGTTGGGTTGAATTGGGTTGGGTTGAATTGGATTGGGTTGAATTGGTTTTGGTTTAATTGGGTTGGGTTGAATTTGTTTTGGTTGAATTGGGTTGGGTTTGGTTAGATTGGGTTGGGTTGCATTGGGAAGGATTGGGGTGGGGTAAATTTGGTTAGGATGAATTGGGTTGGGTTGCATTGGGATGATTTGAATTGAGATCAATTGGGTTGGGTTGAATTGGTTTGGGTTGAATGGGTTAGGATTGGGTTGAATTGACCTGGGTTGTAATGGTTTGGGTTGAATTGGTTAGGATTACATTGGGTTGGGTTTGGCTGAATTGGATTGGGTTGCATTGGGTTTGGTTGCATTGGGTTGGGTTCAGTTAGATTGGGTTGGGTTCAGTTAAATTTGGTTGGGTTCAGTTAGATTAGGTTGTTTGAATTTGGTTGGGATGAATTGGGTGAGGTTGAATTGGATTGGGTTGAATTGGTTTTGGTTTAACTGGGTTGAATTTGTTTTGGTTGAATTGGGTTGGGTTTGGTTAGATTGGGTTGGGTTAAATTTGGTTAGGATGAATTGGGTTGGGTTGCATTGGGAAGGATTGGGTTGATTTGAATTGGGATTAATTTGGTTGGGTTGAATTGGTTTGGGTTGAATTGGTTAGGATTGGGTTGAACTGGCCTGGGTTGTAATGGTTTGGGTTGAATTGGTTAGGATTACATTGGGTTGGGTTTGGCTGAATTGGATTGGGTTGCATTGGGTTCAGTTAGATTGGGTTGGGTTCAGTTAGATTGGGTTGGGTTCAGTTTTTAGATTTGGTTGGGTTCAGTTAGATTGGGTTGGGTTCAGTTAGATTTGGTTGGGTTCAGTTAGATTTGGTTGGGTTTACTTAGATTAGGTTGTTTGAATTTGGTTGGGATGAATTAGGTGAGGTTGAATTGGTTTGGTTTGGTTCAGGCAACTAGACTAATGATGTAGTCTGTTTATTTGAAATGATTCATCACAAGCTGCTTTGTTATCCATTGTCAGTGCCGTGAGGCTCTCTCAACGCAAGCACTCAAATATATGCACTTAGAACCATCGGGACTGAGCGCTACATTGAGTAGTTCTGGTGGCTCTGAGCGCATATGTTTGGATGCTCAAATATACACTCTCACAGCAATCAGAACTGCGCGCTACAGCGCGTAGTTCAGGTGGCGTGGCCGTTAGAGCAAATGCGTGGGTGCTCAAATGTAGCTCCACAGACATTGGAACAGCGCATAGTTCATGCGGCTGTTAGGGCATATGTGTGGCCAGTGTGGGTGCTCAAATATAGCTCTCACAGGCATCAGAACTGGGCACTGCAGCGCGTAGTTCAAGCAATGATGAAGCCGTATGCTTGGGTGCTCAAATGTAGCTCTCACAGCCGCATCCCGCATGAACTGCGCGCTACAGCATGTAGTTCAGGTAGCTATGAGCGCATATGCTTGGGAATGGGTGCTCAAATTTAGCTCTCACAGCCATTGGAACTGCGCGCTACAGCACGTAGTTACAATTGTAACATGTAGATCAATACGGCGTATAGGCCATAACAATCGTAGCTAAATTGCAATTTATGGAGAAGCATAATTGGCAACTTGCGTCCAGTGGCATCTACCTCGGCGTCTTTGGTGCATGAAATTGGCATCCTTGACCTATGTTGTGTTGTGCCTAATGTGCCATGCTTTACAGTTTACACTTTACAGTCTGGCCTGGGATGGGAAATAATAATATTGCCCGACTCACAAGCATTTTTGTCCAATACACTGGTCATTTTGACCCAATTTTCCAGTTAGGTGCATTGCTTCTTCTAAGTTCTAAGCAAGACCAAATTTTTCTTTCAGCCTAGACTCTGTCACTCTGTCTCTACTCTGTTCTTACCTGCAACTTTGGCAGCTTCTCCTAAGACAGCAAGAAGTCCTCCACCCTCCATATTGGATTTTGAACAGTTCCAAATTCAGCTAGTATTAGCATTCACTAGCCAAAAGACCAATTTAAACTAATTTTCTTTTACTAAATATAGCCTTTTTCCAAAGAGGATAGTCTTGTTGAAGACTTGGTGAAATTGGTCTACTAGGGTCTAGGAGTGATCATCATGAGGTGGAGTTTAGAGGTGCAGTAGATTCTGAATGACTTCACAAGTTCGCAGCCCAGGTCACCAAGACCCAGCCAGGTGAGTGAGTGAAACTGAAAGACTGTGAAGTGACAGGACAGGTCGGGTTGGTCACTTGTGGATGTGATGATTGGTGAATGACTTGCCACACCTGAACGTAATGCCTGATAGAGGATTCCTAGTTGCTAGTACTGTAGCAGTACGGTCAATTTTTCAGCTTTGAAATAAATGAATTGTGTACGGCAATAAACTGCTGAAAGCTGCTGAATAGCGACTACCTATCCTAGCACAGCTCAGCTACCCTAATTTCCCGGAAACTATGGAATCGTAGTAAGTTTCTGTATAAGCGGATATTTTTCCGGGAGACACGTATATAAATTCTGAACACGATTATAATAGAATATTTGTTATACTATCGTCATGCCTAAACTTTGTACAGAAGTTCTGAACACAGTTACAACGTTTTCCATTGTAAATGTGGGCAGTACGTTTATGCCGCAATCTGCTCTTCTAGAGTAGCGTATCATACAAATTAACTATTTTACAAAATATTTGCCACTCATTAGGTATATTTTCATTGTACAAATACCTGAAGACTAATTTGATAGAGTTGCATTCCATTGACTCTTTCACAGATTTGTGCACTCGGTGAGTTCATAGCACACACAATGCTTAGAGAACTGTACTTCGTCGAACTCTCATCATTCGGCGGCTGTTGACGACTTGACGTTGAGAGAGTTCGTTTGTGAACGGTATAGAATTCAAACATGAGTTCCATCGGCACAGGGGTGAGTTACAGCATTAATCATGTAGTAAAATTTCCTGTATAACGTCTGATGCTCTCTTATCCATTTTTATTTGACCATAAAATTTTTTACAACTTTTGTACGTACTAACGTACCTATTCTTAAGGTTGTAAACTCGGACGTTACCGCTGCAATATGTGTTCTTGAAACCTGCAGCTGGCGTTTTTAATATTTTCTTGCATTTCAGTATGATCTATCAGCTGCTCAGTTTTCTCCTGATGGACGAGTTTTTCAAGTAGAGTATGCCCAGAAAGCAGTGGAAAACAGTGGGTAAGTAGCTACTAACTAATTAGCCTACCAACTTTACAAGTAGTGACCTGAGTCTGAAAATCACTCTGAATCAAGTGAAAAGTGAATGGTAAAACTTTCTTGACTATTCAAAAGTAGCAAGAATAATGAATACATTTTGAAATGCAGTATTTTTTTATTTATTTAATTTTCACCTAACTATAACCTTGCTATATTTGTGTTGATTATTGCTAAGCTATTGGCTAAAGTTAATGTTTTCTATTTTTTTTTTTATAGCTAAGATAGCAAATTTCCTTCTGAATACTAAAATCTTGATAATCTAAAGTAACATATGTTTTTAGATACAAATCTTTCAGCTTTGTAATGTTAATATGAACAATATTAGGGTAAACGCAGTATATTCCGACACATTAAGGACGCATCGAGAAATGAAAAACTATAAAAAAAAATGGTATGCGTTACGTAAGTTCTGTTGCCTTCACATGACTCTCAAAACACTTCACTACGCATCAGCAATGATGAAACGTCACAAAATGTTGCCATATTTATTAAAAAGCCTTTAGAATGGAAACCTACCAAATCCCTATATTCCGTCACTTTGTGTGGCAACATCCGACACGTGGTGAGTCGTATTGCTTCAGCGCTTCAAATTTAACTGATACATATTGCCGACATCCACGTGTTCGAATTCCGTTTGCTGTGTGAGCTGTATTGGGATACAACACGGCTTTGAATTAGAACACTAACGAATATTGAACACTACTTAATTACGTTTTAATTAACAGCTATTAGGCTTTTAATTAAGCAATCAATTTTTGTACAAAGCTTTGAACGATCTGTGTGTGTCCAATTCAAGTTGTGTCGGAATTAGTTTTCATGTGTCGAAATCCAACATCTCAACTTAATCATCTATTAATTTATTTACGACTTGAAATCAGCGAATACAAGTATACTTAAAGGATTCCTAATATATTCACAGACGTATTTAAAAGTCTCAAACCATAATATTCTTCCTATAAAAACAGTTATTCACTATTTGGTAGAGCCATGTCAACTGTCAAATTTGACACATTTTTCGATGATCTCACCACGTGGCATGCATTGTCTCTCTTTGGATCTCAATATTTTCCCACTAGATGGCCAAGACCTAGTGTTTTTGCAGTATTTCGACACGCAAATGTATGACGTCACCATTTCAACCATCAATGAACGCATGGAACTAAAACAAAGCTTAATATAAAGGAAAAGCTGGAGAGGTGAGGGAATTACCTACGATGTCGGAATATACCGCGTTTACCCTACCACTTGAGCTCCAACTTGAGCTTTACTGCATTTTTTAAATTTTTAACAGTGAGATACTCACTAAATTGCCTCCTATCTAATTGTTAACTAAAGTGCATGACTGGGCCACAAGATTCCAAATGTACTGAAATTCTAATTCTAAACTGCCATTTGTAACTGAAGGGATCAGCATTTACACCCAATGCAGGCCAGGATTGGAATTTTCATACTTTTTACTAAAATCTTGCAGCCCCTATTGTTGGGTTTGTATGCTATGATATAGGAGGTAATTCGTCTAACTGTAATCTTGCTGTCCAAAAATGGGGGAATGCTCTAGTTACAGACTGAAAGGTAGATATATCCCATGCCAGATGCAGACCATCTAAAATGACAGTTACTAATCAATATCCCAAAATGGACCATAGTTCCCAAGATTCTGACATCTTAACCTACAAGGCCACACATGTTAAAAGGCTGTTATTGATCTTTGTGATTCCACAAAAATTGATAAAAGTTATATATTTTATTTTGCTCTGGTATTAATTCATTATTATACTTCAGGACAGCTGTTGGACTGGTCTGCAAGGATGGTGTTGTACTTGCTGTTGAAAAAATTGTGACATCAAAGCTGTATGAACCAGGAACCAACAAGAGGCTCTTCACAGTTGACACTCATGTTGGCTTGGTGAGTGTCTTGTCTCTTGTTATCATCAGTGCTGTCAAATACAAGAGTAGGTGTGCACACATCCAAGGAATTTTTATTTGCAATTCTGTTCATTTTGTCTCAATTTTGTCTGTATTGATGAAAAACTACTTGCAAATAATGTTATTTGGCTCCTCTTTCTAAGTCACAGTAATGAGTGGGAAAAAAATTCAGTCCTAAACAATCTCTACAATCACTCAAATTGTGAGTTTGTTCTTAAAAAAATAATTATGATTCAAATTTACCTTCTAAGGTTTCTGGTAAATGAAAATTTTTTTGTTTAATTCTTAAGACCTTATAATGATTATAGGTTCTGTTCAATATCATGTATATTAGCTGCCTTAGAGTCTTAAAATAATATATCTTGAAATACACTAGGATGAAAGAAGAGTTGCTTAAGATATTACTGCATAACTTTTTGCTTTTAATTTGGATTAGAATTGGGCTAGGTTTTTCATAACAATTGTAATCATATGCTGCACTTGCCCACAAATATTACATGCTCCTATTCAACAAAATTCCTGTTCTTGACAATAATTTGGGTAGTTCTTGCGTGTATAATGCTAAGGATGTTTTGGTACTGACAGGCCTGCGCTGGACTCCTTGCAGATGCAAGAGCCATTGTTGACGTGGCGCGAAACGAGGCCGCCAACTACCGGGCAGAGTACAGCGTTCCCATGCCTGTTAAGGTCTGACTTAGCTTCTGGTATTCTAAGAATATCTTAGGATTCTTATTGAAAAGCTTCGTGATGAACAAAACGAAATGCAGACCAGTGAATTCCTACAATTATATTGAATTAAAAATATGTTGATGGTTGTGCATCGTGATTTCATATTTGTTAATACCCATTATCTTTCTGTATTATAATATTGTTTCAATTACGTGCATAATTTCTATCTTTATTTCAATTCAGCTTTATCCACTTGTTTCAACTCAAGCATACTAATATTATATTTATCTAATCAAATTCAACGTATAAATTCCTTATTGATGAGATTTATTGTGGCATCTTCTCATGATACGTAAAGTTACCTCTCATTTTTGTTTGCATCACTATTGGAAATAATTGAACTGCTCAGGAGCTGACAGAACGTGTGAGCAACTACCTACATGCGTACACCCTGTACTCGTCAGTGCGTCCCTATGGCTGCTCCGTTATGCTCGCCTCTTACCTCAACGACTCTCCACAGCTCTTCGTCACCGACCCTTCAGGCTTGTGCTTTGTGAGTCATTTCACTTGCATTGCAATTTGGTCCTTCAAATATCTGAGTCATGAATTTCGTTCACCTCCAACATTCCGTCCAGATTATTTGTTCCATTTTTACTAGAAATATAGTAAAGTAATAAATAGTAAAATATTAGTTAATAGTGATATTATTATAATTAACTGCTTAGTTTCATTTACTTTAACTTCAACTTCTATCTATTATTGTCTTTGAGTAGTTATTTCTTTTATCGGTTCATATGGTAATTTGAACTTTAATGCATCACACCTTTCAACCCAGGGATATTTTGGAGCCGCCATTGGCAAGGCAAAGCAGAACGCCAAAACCGAGATAGAGAAACTGAAATTGAAGGAGCTCACCTGCAAGCAACTCGTCAAAGAGGCTGCGAAAATGTGAGTTTGACCTTTTTGCTTCATTTGGCTTGTACAAAACGAGATAAAATTTTAATGTTTGGTCCTACAATCTTTTTATGGGCATTTGGTTCAAAAGGGTTGAATGCATAATACTCCTCTCTGACAATTTCGGATGCCACAGATTACCATAATTCTACAAATAGAATTTAGAGCTGATATTTACCAATTTGCTACCATAGATGAATTTTCAAATATTTATTGAAGAATGTGTTGAATGAGCTATTTTTTCAGCATTTATCAGTAGATTGTTTCCCGATGCTATCGATAATGCTTGTTGTTTTCACAGCATATAACTAGTAGATTGTTTCCCGATGCTATCTATAATGCATGTTGTTCTCGCAGCATATACCTAGTACATGACGAGGTGAAGGACAAGCAGTTCGAGCTGGAGCTGTCATGGGTGTGCGCCGAGAGCCAGGGGAGGCACGAGCTCGTACCTAAGGCACTGAAGGTGCAGGCCGAGAAGTATGCTAAAGCCGCCCTTGAGGAAGAGTCCTCGGATGACGAAGAAGATATGTAGCCTCTCGTATAGATATAAAACAGCTTTTCTTATATACTTCATGGTTTGATTTAAGCCTTCTCTAGACATATCAAAGAAAATTCCATTACATGATTCTAAATTCCATTCCTCTAAAATTCCATTCTGAATTTTAGATGTCCTTGAAAATCACAACTTTCATGCCTTATGACGAGATTCCATTGTTCTTGAAGTTTGAGAGCTAACAGGTAGCAGAGTCACCTTATTTCAAAAATTAACATTAACCTATAGATTGAGAATAAAATTTAGTCGAGTACCAATCATTTTATTTTAATTTGAACTGACATCACGATGAATTAAGAAAATAGTAACCACGATACAAAAGTTTATTTCTGGCCAACAGTAGCCAATCCATGCCTGTGAGAAGTTGTGTCGGCTGTCCTACTCGCTGGTCCAGCTGCATGATATTTTTTACATTATGATTGGAGGACGAAAGATGCGCGGAAATAATTCGATTAATTGAGCTAGGATCTTCAATGTATTATAACGCATTATTTATGATACATATAAACGCACACAGTTTGAAACGTGACTCGACATAGAAAATTGGCAGTAAGATAGCATCAGGCGCTCAGAAGAGCTGCATGAACAACCTAGAAACACTTTTGAAGGCCTGTTTTGATGAACTTTCCAAACGCAAGCTTGCTACAAAATAACGCATTTTGATTTCTGTTGCTCTTTGATTTGAGTAACTGCAGAAAACCTGGCGCAGAATTGATAATGAACAAGAATATTGACTTGAGTACATTTTATCATATTTACTGGTGTTCATCGAACTGTGCCTTTTCTGAACTTTTTATAATTAATTTCGATCGAAGTAACTATTGGAAAACATTATTTTACGTTTAGATCACATCAAATGCACAGGAGTTCGGGTTATGCTCCTATCGAGATGCTTCTATTTCTGAAGAAAGAATTTGAAAATCGTATTTAATAGTCTTGACTCGTAATCAAAAGATTGTAATAGAATACTATAATCAAATCTCTTAATTTTAAACGGAGCTATCACGTAAACACAACGCTTATACATATTCATATTTTATAAAAAAAGTCGTATAGGTATATTCTTTATGAAGGATATTCGTGGACAACGCTTTTATTTCTAGTAAGTAGTAAATACTGCATATACGTCTGTAAAACACTAACATTATAGATCATAAAATATCAGAATAATTAAATTTTGCAGAAACAGTTATAAAAATTGAAAACTATGAAACACAAATTCCTACGCTTCAATTCAGCTTTTTGTAAGCCGATCACAGATTCTGCTTTGGACCCAACGTTTCTTAAGAAATCCTACATAATTTTTATTAGCAGCCAACCGCATCATTTTCTGCTAAATGAAAAAAGTCTGTACGGCATGAACTGATGCTACGCTTCCGATGCTTAAATACTACTTGATTCTGTTCCAATTATATGTTCCTTATCAAATAAAGAATAAGGCACAGTTTGGAGTATAAATACCTCACATTCATCAAACGCAGTTTTGTGTGACAAAACATCAAATCGCCTTTTGATGGAAAAAAAACTACCAAGGAATCGTCCGTGCAAAAAATACCGTTTTTCCTTAACGTGATGTGCATTTTGCAATTTTCTTTTAAATAATCATTCGAGCAGGTGTGCGAATAGCTTTGATACATGCGGTTATTCAATTCCATTCAGGACTGATCACAAATTTTAAGTTATAAAATTCGTCAGAACTTGAGTCACACCGCAAATGTGTGATCATGTGTTCACTGAAATCAAAAAATGAGCGCGCGAATATATAGCTAACATCGTATTTAACAAATCACTCATATAATCAATGACTGATGCTTGACAGGAAGGCATTCAGACACCAAAGCAATACTGCAGTTTTCGCAGGCTGCTGAGTGGTACAGTCTAGAATGGAATAGAAGTGTCGGCATTGAAGAAATAGGCAATAGTTCAGCACACTCGAATATAGAGATTTGCAGCGTGTATTCGTGCATTCTGAAACCTAATACTAATTAGCAGATAGTATAAGATAGATTTGACACATCTATGCTCATGAGTGCAAAACAATATCAGTTGAGTAAGAATGAATATGAAAAATGCGAATGACGAATTTTAACCACTACCTAGTAAATCACAAGTTTCTCAAATTGATTTTTACATACAAGTTTGGTTCGACTTTGAAAGCCCCAATGTATATAAGACATATAGAATTATACCAACCATTGTCTCAAGTATCAAGCATTGAGCCCACAACTGAGATCAATTACTTGAATAATTGAGCCGATTATTATCTTCCAGAGCAGATTTGTATGATGCTAATCGAGAACTAGAAAGCCATCACTCGCATTTGTCACGTTGTTAGTTACTCTGAAAACTAAAAAAAATAAATTCCACATCTGCTAGAATATTACATTGGTTGGCTCCTTTCAATGAATTGTTGAAATGACCTAATGCTAGCGCCTCTGAACTGTTTAGCTAACTAGTGAAGGGCTTTGTACTTTTATCCGTTTAAGTTCCCGTGTAGACACGGTAGCCGTAAAATTCAGGGGAATTTGATACACGCCATGATAAAAGTGCCATAATAAATTTGACACGCCATAATCAATGTCACACGCCCTTATAAAAGTGCTGGTAGGAATTAAACCATCATCGCTGCAGATCATTTAGCGGTCGTGTATTCCGCACGATCTTCCACTGTGAGCGCGATGTGGCTGCAGGATAGCGAAGGAGATACCTGATAACTTTCTGTACGGTACCTACAGTCTGCCTTGAGAGCAGGTAGGTACGGTACTTGCCACCGACATCGCAATGAATGCCCAGAAATAATACGGGACATGTCCATAAGCCTGTCACCATCCAAGTGTTACGCTTGTTTTGCCATTGCAGACGTAAACTCGAATTCATGACCGCCATAGAACTTATAGTCAACGAATTTTTTCTTTGAATCTCACTGAGTTTCAGAAATTCGTAAGGCATTAGCATTCCATCAATGCTGCAAACGATAACGGACGGCAAAAAGTTATCAGGTGGTCACGTGAGCTCTACAGTGAGCATGTGACTACAAATAACAATTCTTCAATCCAAACATAACATTCTGTACATACATCCGCACAGGCTCGGGGGTTGGATTGGTGGTTCTCTTCGCAATGCACCGCAATCTGCGAAAAAAGATTTACCAGGGACGCTGGCGAATCTGGGAGGCGAAATGGCATGGAGCATAAAATGAAAGCAAAGTATGACAAAGAGGCGAGTACAGGAAGATGTTGCAAATACATGATAGTGAGGCGGAATCGTTGTAGTGAGGTAAAAGAAAAGCGTTGTAGTGAGGTAAATATGGTACATCGTGATGAGGCAAAAGAAAAACATTTTAGTGAGGTAAATACAAACAGGGTGGCAAATGTGTAACGTAGGAGCTAATCAGCTTACAGTACATATTGGTTTATAATTACAATACGCAACCTTTTATAAATGCATGTCCACCCAGATTAGCCAACGTCATTGGCGATCTTTCTCGTCACCGATATTTCCGGTATCAGTACAGATATTGTACATAAAAGAGAAAACTAACCTCTCTCCACGCCGACGTAGGGTTTAGCTGCTTAGGATGTAAACATGAATGTTATTTGCACAACACAGTTCAAAACCTGTGTAGGCTAAATAACGTAGATTTTGGCAGGTCCACAGTTATAGTAAACCTTTACCAAATCTATCGCTGTTCATTTCATCATAGTTTTTTTTATTTTTTATTTCTGATGTAAATTTCATGTTCTTGCTTTAAATTCAGATCGCATGCGATCTCGAATGAAAAGGAACAATCATCGGAATAATAAAGAGTCAAATGTCATAAGTCTAACTGAATAGTCAAAGCGGATAGACAGTCAAGCGTGTAGTACATTTCAGTGCTGTCACTTTACAAGAAGTCAAGTCAGTTATGGCAACCCATAACACAAGTCAAAAGTCACTGCGATGCTCCCACACTCGAGGACTGAGCCCTGCGGCTCTCAGAAGCTGCATAGCTGCAAGGACTTGATCGGAGTTCACAACAGGAACCTGTGAAAATTATATGAAATAAACAATAACTCAATAATATATTAACTCAACAAAAATATACATACGATTCATCTGATTCCATGAAGTTTAGGTAATTTAAATACTATATCATTCACATTACAGTACAACGACGCATAATTTTTCGTACCTAGATAAAATAGAATACCTCCAAAACATACCGAACTTATTAAATCTCACCATTATAGTGAATTTTTTGTCAAGAGAACAGTCAGCAGAAGTCGGAGACATCGACAATGGAGGAGTCATGAAAGGCGCTTCGCCGGAATACGTGCGAGATTTTTTCCGCTTCTTCGGGACCGGCGGCTTGCTGTCCCGTGTCGGCGACTCGCTACACGTGATACTAAACTCAAAGCTATACTCCTTCCTGGAAAAAGCAAAATGCTAAATTAGTCATATTAATACAATTGCACGTCCATTAGTGTACGATTACGTCTATTTGAATTACCCAGTTTATAATCCTATGATCTTTTATTCATTTGGGGCTTAGAGCTCCAATAGTAAACATGTTGATTGAAATATTACCTCAGTTATAACACAATTAATGAAATCAATACATTTTAACACTATTTGTCTTTTAAAGCAGATTACAAACACATTAAATGAAAGATGATTTATACAAAGACATTATTCACCAATAATGAGCTCATCCATGAGTGCTTTGTTATTGATTCTAAGCTATATGCAAAAGCTGGAAATTACCTGTTCCCCTCAGCCAACGGGTTTAGCAGGTGTACGACAAGAGTGATGGCCTTGCCGTTCTCCTTATGATGGTCACAAGAATTACGACACAAAGGCGTAAGTTTCATGTCGTAAGTGACGTAGTAGTCTGGCTCGTTCTGTTCTAACTTCATCACATTCGACAGAGGGGTGAAACATTTGGGTGTGTCACACTCGCTGTAGACTTTCAGCATTCCATGGGCGCAAAAAAACGCTCGATGGTCATGTTCCATCTTGCACAAGTCGACGTGTTTTTTAAAGTGATTCTCACACGACATGACGCTAGTACCGAAACTGCTTGACTCCTGATATTTACTCTCGATAAAGATTTCTGTAGCCTCGAAAAATTGACGCAACCCAGAAAATTTGAGGTAAAAATCAGCGTTTGGTCTAATAAACACCTTCTTGTTCTGAATCTGAAAGAGTAGGAAACAGCATCGACTCATTCGACGAATCATGGATACTGATCGAATTTCAAATTGAAAATCAGATATTCTCACCACTTTTACCCCAAACGTGTCCACCCATAATAGAATGAACACTTCACAGTATAATTCACGCCTGCTTTAAATGATATGGAAATGTTAGCAAATATTTTGTTAAACAAGGAGTGACTAATTGCAAGTCTGTCTAAACCATAAACTAATTGCAGTAAACAACTAAGCGACTGAACACAAAACAATTTGTTATGAGAAAAATAAAATTTTTCACAACGAATTGACTGCAAACAAAGGCTAACCTTACACTTCGATGTCTCCTTCTTCCACGACGGAGGAGGCATGGCGCGAACATCTATGCCATCCATGGGGGGTTTGGGTTCATCGATGTTACCGAAGCCAGGAGAAGGACCGATATCCGAGTCTTCATGGAAATTTGGTTCATCCATCTGTTGATGAAAATTTGAGACAGATTCCGAACTAGAGTTACTACATAACATCGAGGGACGATGATCGAAAGAATCAGGAACCTGACGAAGAATGGGACCTGACGAAGCATAGGTTGATGTCGCTCCATTGACGTGGCCAGTGGAGAAAGTTAAGTCGAAACGTGCTGGAATATCTTGATCGAGTTCGTCGTCTGCCAAAAAGATTCCTTCACCATCCACAGATTCTTCATGGCCCACTTGGGATGAACTCGACCCGGATGCCTTTGAAAAAGAAATAAAATCATTGTTATGTTAACAAGATAATCATATGGAGCAGTCCAAATTACGCAAACATTTGCGACAATTTCTACCGCGGTGTCTTGCTGATAATTAGTTACGTTTGTAAACTCATGCAGATTTGTTCAGAAATGAGTAACTTATGATTGGTTCAGTTGCGCAAAGCTACGTTCTGCGTTTGAGTCGCTGGTGTCGATTCTGTCACAAATTTGAGTTGGCAAAACATTTGTCTAGATAGACGAAGATTATAGAGAAAATTATAACGAAATTGGAACGAGTTTGATTTGCAAACGATGGTTATTTTTTTGTACTTTCTATATTTCTAGGCATAGAGACAGGTGTTCTTATGAGAAAGTATTGCTCCGTTTAGTCTGTTTATATACATCATTCTTCACAAACATGGGAGGTCATGCAAAGTATACGGTGACTTAATTAGCAAATGTTGAAAAGCATGTCTGGATCAGGAGTAGTCAGCCATTTCATTTCTACATTGATGGATATCGGCCCAGTAAGTGTCAAGACCACAGAAGGTACCTATATAAGTGCTCGTTATAGGCAATATTTCAGCGGCCAATAATCGCCTCATAGATTCAGCGTTCATCGAGCGATCGCTCTCGTCCTTGCACAGTAAAATTTCAGAATAGACACCAGACGTAAAATGGCAAGGAATTTAAAAATATATATATAACTCAGAACTCACTGTATGTGAGTGGCAGAGAGCGCATTTTCTCGTCGACGAAAACGTAAAGTCACAGACGGACAGACGGACAGACGGGCGGACATGGCGAGCACAATAGTGCATTTTTTCCAAAAATGAGAAAATGCGCTAATAAGATGGCAAAGAAATTCACCATATGTTTATATAGGAAAACTTTTCGAAGTCCAACTCTATCATCAATTCGGCCATCCTAAAAAATTAATACAATCAGCAGAAGAAAGTATCAAACACTTTCTAGTATTGTTAATTAGCCATATAGCATTGCAGTGATCTCAGTATACGTACAAAGGCGTCGCGGTGGTCGGCAGGAGGCATCCTTCCGCCGTAAGGATGCAGGATGCCCGAAGCACGGTCGTCAAGGAGAGGTTGTACGTAGTTCACGCAGTCACTAGATGCCGATAGCTGTAACAATAAATAATTATTGATTAAATACCATACATAATGAAGCGACTCCGGCTAAGATTCATTCGTATGGAGAATTGCATTGGGAATGCGATGTTATTTTGTTCAGCTGGCATAGTGCCAATACGTGAAGGATTTTAATCACAAAAGGAGCTATCAACGCTTAGAATTTCTTTTCTCGATCGTCTCTCATTAATTCCTAAGGACCACTGTATAAAAGCACACAAATATCTACAAGTTCCTTACCTCAACGGCTAGTTCATCCAAATGATAACTGACCTCTTTTTCCAGAAGCACGAATTCTTCCATGTCCACGAAGAAAAGTTAAAAAACGAGTTTCAGCGCCATAAATAACTACTATATTACTCATTAAATAGATAGTTTATTCACCCACACCGACACATGGAGACACGTTTTAAATACACTATATCTACGATTGTTAATGCGTGGTGTAGGGGTACGAAATGCACGTAATCATCATTTCAGTACAATGTCAGCGCAAAATATTTCTGCTTTGAACAGGTTAATCATAGAAACGATCTGCGTGCAGAAGAGAGATGAGTTTATTTATGAACATTTATTAATTTATGAACACAATGTTCGGACTTAGCAGCGTGATATGAAAGATAAGCATTTCCACTAATAATTTTTAGATTTAGTCAGTTCAAGGTACGATTATAATTAAGAAGCCGAAACTAAGCGACTAGTAATTCTTACACATATAAATGATTGCGTTAGATCTTTTCAACAAGAAGCTCCAAAAAAATAACGTACATACAGATTAAAACCCGGCTAATCGACAAATACATGGAGTCGCCGACTTCAGAAAACCTTTGTTATTAATATTAATAATAGGAAAAGGGTATAGGTTTTGTACAGAGCTTATACGGCTGTCGTGGCAAGCAGACTTGACGAGTTTGCAAGGTTAGTATAATAGTATAACAACGCATCCTTTGTTGCCGCACTACAAACTTGCTTGAGATGAGTTTAGTTCGAAACGGAGGAATCGGGATTACGATAACGGGATATAATTCACAGCAAGTTAACTATATCCCTAACATTGATACATTATAAGTGGTGGCGTTCAATAAACTATCCATGGTCCTTTGTTTTAAGAAAAAAACGCTAAAATAACTTCAGTCTGTTCGTTGTTTCTGCCGTTGTGCCGTGGTAGCTTTCTGTGGCTTTGGCATAGTTGGAAGCGCCCCATCTGCTGCCACCCTACTCGTTTGAAATATAAGTAGCATGCACACAATGTCGGCCATATTCATATCTTTCTGATATGGGGCATCATAAATTAGCGAAAGCTGCACAGAGTTCCAGAAGCACTACCGTATTGTGACACATGCAACAAATGCTGGACTCGTGATAGCAACAGAGGGAGGCCATTTTGTAACACTGAATTGAAGGTCGCGTGCGCGATTTGTTAGGGCATTTCAAAGTTGATCTTGAGTTCTGGCATAAACAGACTTGTAATAATAATAATAATAATTATACAAGTGAGTTACGTGTTACAAACATGTTTACACTAACCGCGAAACCGCGATTATCAGCACAGAAGCCGTTGGTGCGAAAAATTCAGTCATCTACACAAAATAAAAAAACAATTTTAAATTTTTTAAAAATTTAAATGTTACATAAATAGAAAAGAAGACATTCAAATAATTACCTAAAGTAAGGGAAATTTCAGGTGAGGTATGATTCACTCAATGATTAGAAAATCAAAGTCAAGTGAACACAACCTTGATAAAGTATCTATTCCTGCATTGTAAAACAGCAGAAAAATATAACTAAATCAACTGAAATTTGTCTCCAGTAACTCGCACCTCCACCGTTTAGCTCGATTCATCGAGTAATCGCGCGATCAGCCACTCCACTTTGTCGGTAAATTCTTTCATCTTCGGGCGCTCATTAATTAATTTTAAATGTGCTCCGGGTATTTCTATTTATGTATTGATTTTTTTAATAGTTATACAAGTTTTGAGGCTTTTAAAAAACGGCTCTCTTTGTTGGCCGATGGCCCACCCTGGGTCGATCACGCGAACCACATGACCTTGCGCCGCGTGAGCTGTGCGGAGTGACAACCAAACCCAGCAACTCAATTTCTTCTTTATAAAAATAATAATAATAATAATAATAATAATAAAAATTCATCGAAACAAAATGTAGTTTATGATCAACAATACGTGATTTGTCGCGGTTGAATAATTTGGTTGAAGAAACACACTTTAAAGTCTGGACGTAATAAAAATAAGTAGATTAGTTTGACAAAAAAAAAAAAACAGACTAACCCGGCACCAGCAAGCAATCACTGGAGCAAAACGTAGGTAGCTAACAATCGCTGTGGAACTTGTGAAACAAATTTCATTGACTACAATAAGCAGCTACGGTGAGCTACCTAGCCTACAACAGAAAATGAGGCAGTTTCTTAAATTATCACGAGTTTTCCAGGCTAAACTTGTTAACACAAGCATACCAGTCTAACAGATGAAGCCAAAACTCATAATGTAATTTTTAGTCCCTCGTTTGGAATATCCCAGTTCTTACTTCCGTTGTCTGTTTGTGTGATTGGCAATTGATACGCGCAAATGCAGCGAATACACTATAGCCTACTAGGCTGGTGTTAGCCTACCGTAGGTATAATTAAAAAACACACAAGCTAAAATAAAAAATTCTAAAAATAATCGCAATACCTGGTAGCTACAATTTTTAGGTAGCTACTTGACCAAGTCCAAGTGTTGAACATTTTTTAAATTTAAATTCTTGGACTTGAAAAAATCGGCACAAAAATGGCGTTTGAACCCATAAAGAAAAAGACACATGCAATACTGATGATTAATCCAAATCACAAGAAATCGAGGTGAAAACTTCAAAAATCCAGCTGCTCCACTAACACCAACTTTCAACCTAACCACGCGGGAGAGGAGCTTTTCTCCCAGTGCTCCTCTCTCAACGAGGGCACACATCTAACTGACATTGCTGCCGCCTGTCCACACGACTACATCACGAGACGGTCACTGCGTTCAGAGAAGTGTGCGTGCCGTACGTGTGTACTGGCGCTGCATTCAAGCAGCATATGTACGTACGGACGTACAGCCGTCACGTTATGAAGCTGCTCCCTAGCCAGGGCTGAATGTTGTGCCTAGAAGCGATGACGGAGCATGTTAACAAATTCTGTACGCAAGAACAGCTTGTCGTAGCGTCATTGCTATGCAAGCGATGTCAAATGATTTACTTACAACATGTTGTTCACAGTGAATTCATGTTACCAATAAATCAGTTTAGGTACCAATATATCCGCAAAAAATATATAAAGTTTTTAAGGAGTTAGCGATTGTTTGAGTAAATTGTAATGAACTAAATTTAATCATTTGTAGGAAGTAATGTGGATTGATAACTGTGAAACAAATTGTTAGATGAAGGATAGACCTCTGTACCTGAGACGTATTTATAAAATCTCTGCGTCGCATAAACTTTTACCTTACATGAAAATTTTTGTAAAATCATGAGCAATAACTATTTTCTATGCTATGCCTTCTTCTATCTGTGCTGCACCCGACTAGGGGCTGCCGCTGCATGGACGCGCTTCGAAGTCCCTTTGAGATACCAAATAGAAAAAGAAAACGTCATCTGAGATAGTGAAATGCAGCTGTGCCTCTGACACACAGCTGATTCTCCACCCAACCTATCACAGGTTGAGCGCGCTGGTCACGTTATGAAACTGCTCCCAAAGGGACGAGTCAGGCAAGTCATGAATGCTCTAGGCTTTAGCACCGTGCCAATGGGCCGATTGAGCTCATTCCCACTTCATATGAGATGCGCCAATAAATAAATTTTAGTTTTCATGGTTAGGTTTGTTTATTCAAAGTTCCGTTCAAATCTGTACAGTAGTTTGGAAGAAATTTCTAGGTCACTGCGAATTTCGGCTCGTATTTCTGTATAACTCGCGAATGAAGGTGAAATGGAAAAACTCGAAAACGAAAGTAAAATCGAAAAAATATAACTCAGTACTCACTGCAGTGAGTGACAGAGCGCATTCTTCTCGTCGACGAAAACGTGAAGTCACGGACGGACAGACGGACGGACAGACAGACGGACGGACAGACGGACATGGCGAGCACAATAGTGCATTTTTTCATAAATGAGAAAATGCGCTAAAAATATGCACGAGCTAAACATCACCGTTGGGTGGTTAGGTTTGCTTGTATAAAGTTTTGTTCCATCTGTTCAGTAGTTTAGAAGAAATTTCTAGATCACTGCGAATTTCGTCCCGTATTGCTGTATGTATAATTCGCAAATGAAGGTGAAATGAAAAAATATAACTCAGTACTCACTGCAGTGAGAGACAGAGAGCGCATTTTCTCGTCCCGAAAACGTTAAGTCACGGACGGATAGACAGACGGACGGACATGGCGAGCACAATAGTGCATTTTTTCATAAATGAGAAAATGCGCTAAAAACTCGAAAACGAAAGTAAAATCAACAAAATTGTCACGAGCTAAACATCACCGTTGGGAAGTTAAGTTTGCTCGTATAACGTTTCGTTCAAATCTGTTCAGTAGTTTCGAAGGAATTTCTTGGTCACTACAAATTTTGGCCGAATTGCTCTATAACTCAAGAAGAAGTTGAAATTGAAATATGTTTCACGAGCTAAACACCGTTAGGTCCTAATGAGTATGTGTACCAAGTTTCTTCGAGCTGCGTTCATTAGTTTGGGAGATATTCCTTGTGATCACTGAATTTGGAGACTGGGCCGCGAGACCAGCCGTAAATTTGTCCGACACCTAGTTTCGTGATCATTATTTTGATTTTTAAATTTAAAGAATTTACCGAAGTAACGACGAATTGGATGACAGGAAGTTGAAAACATCAAGGACTTTCTACCCGTGTGTTGCTGATAGCAACGTATCCTCTGTCTATTCTGAGAACTATGAGTATTGCAATCAGTTGTGTATACAGCAGAGAAGACTCATCTAATTGTAGTGACCTTATAGAATGAGTACCGACAAACGTATGACGAACCATCTTGGGAAGTCTCCTCGTTGTCCGGCTGCCGCCGTGCCAGCAACCGGTCTCGCGCCATGACGCACGCATGCCAACACCATGGCAACACAAGGCTGACAACGCTGGGGTTGGCAGTCACCTGTTGCTGCCAGGGAAATCCTGCGTGAGCGCAATTTTCGAACGCATGACGATGCTGCAGCAACTTCCGGCCCCTGAACGTTCTCTCGCACTTCTATGAGCGGCATTCCCTGTGGGAGCTGTGAGACCCGGAATTCGAGGTAGTATTTAGACTTTTTAGAACAATGTTTCAAGCACTTCATGCTTTCGGTGACTCGAGCTTCTATTGCTGGGATACACGTATGAAGATCGAACGAAGGCAATGGGAAAAAATGTGAATATAGAAGATGGGACCTCGTGTATGATTCGGTTTTCGTTTTTTGTTTATTATATTTTTATAAATTGGTATTTAATATTCCTTCTCAATCTTGCTGCATTGACTAATCGGTAAAAATTGTTTGCACATCTGGCCCGAAACGATCAATAAAGCGCGCCTTTGTTG